CCGTTAAGGAGCTTTTATGTTGGAAGCGATTACGAAAGCAACCACTGTCGGAATCTGCTAGTGACTAGAGTAGCCATGTCTGAGGGGCTCCGTCACAGACAGAGGTTTGTGGACTTGAACAAACTCTGAGGGGATACGATTTTACGCACAAGCAGCTCATCATCCCATCACACCCTCCAATATCTCTCCGATGAAAATAGGGACATCTTCAGGAAAAGTGGAACATTCTGGGATCAAATCAGAAACTGGGATGGCTTCTGTAAATCTGGGACTCTTTGGAAAATATATAATTCTTTAAAGAGGTCATGAACCTGGGCCTGCAAAGCTGGTAACAGGCCTAGGCCAGAAGGGAAATGTAGGCTCTATTTCAATCATCTTTACCAAAGATCTCCCTTTGCCTCTATCAGGGGGACTTGGAGTAGGCCCTTTCAAAAAGGTAGGTGCACGCCAATTGTCCTACCTGCCCCCCACCCTCTGTTCTAGCCTGGTCATGCACGATAATTGTGTATTGGTATTGTGGATGCACTGTTTCTGGATAACGAAAAGCAGATTATTTCCAACATAATACTGTGTGGATCCACATTCTTTTGCAGTGCAAGGGCTGTAGGTGAAATGGAGATTAGAATGGGGATTGCATTTAGAATCTTGAAAAGCTCCAAATTCTTGGAAGCAACTGAAGCCAAGCTTTTTCAGATTCCTTAATGCTACAATAAAACAGCCCACAATCTCAGATGTCAGGCTCTCAGTTCATCCATGCTGTTCTAGTTTCAGGTTTGGGACACCCATTGAAGGAGCTGGAAATTTATTCTGGATGTCGGACAACAAGAGGTATTAAATAGCCAGATGAGAAGGAGGGAGGCTAGGCGACAATGAGAAGGGACAGTGTATGAGTAGGAATATCAGAGTATTCCAATGAATACACAAATGGGGGAAGAAATTTACAGTGTTCATTTATTCATCCCATCTCCAGAGTGGACATTAATCCAGTGAATATGATTGGTATTTACTGCTGGTGCTTTCAGGCCTTAAAAAATACATAATTGATTACATTTTTCCTCATTTGCTGGTGATAATGGCTTTGAAGTACTCTCCATTCCATTGAGAATCCAGGGTTCATGAAGCATTGCTGCCTCCACACCCTCAACCCCTGTCATACAAGCACCACATAACCCAAATTTCAGGACTAGGAGGTATAATAATAGTTAATATATTAGAGAAATGCTCTTATTTGGGACATTGGTCAAAGCTTTGAAGTTTGCAATTTGTTGGGTCTATTGGAGCTGTCGAAGACCAAAGACTTCTCTTTGTATATTGTTGGCTATCTCTTTAATGCATCACAAGACAAGAGAAAACCCATCCTTGAAAATAGAGGATTTGCATATAATTGGCATCTGCTAATTTATATGTTTAGAGGCAAATGTAGTATAATTACTATAATTTAAGTAGAAACACAGTCTCACCATAGTAGGGAAGGCTGCAACCAGGTGACCTGTGTCTCTGGCCAGGTGTTGACTGTTGACTAGCCACTACAAGGACCCTGTTCTTCCTTCTTGTGGTTCTTTATATTTAAACTGGTCTTGGAATGGACAGCCCTTCAAACAGAGGGCTATCCTAGTAAAGCTGGACACATAGTAGCCTTACTTTCTTTACAGGTGGGGAACATTTTCAGCCTAAGAGCCACATTCCCTTCTGGCCAACCTTCTGGGGGCCACCTGCCGGTGATGGGTGAGGTATGAGGAAAAGGTCAGCAGAGCAAAAAAATGTTTATCTTTGTACAGCAGACTCATTTATACTCACACTCACATACCCTTCTTTAGTCTCCATCCAAAAAATAAAAAAGACATTATCAGAGTTCAAGGATACAGACTAGCCGGGCAAAAAACAGCTGAGGAAGGTGCAAAGCAGGGCTGATGAGGGGTGTGGCTTAGAAGGGCATGTCACCAAGCAGAGTGTTTCAAGGGCCACATTTGACCCCTGTGCTTGAGGTTCCCCAACTATGCTTTGCATATCAACAGTGTTTATATTCCAGCCCATATTTTGTGGTTTCGCATCATTACAGGAGGGGCCTGTTCCTGTCTTCTCAACAGTGGTACTGCTGACAGTAGGGTAAATTTCTGTAGGGTAAATTTCTAGTTCTCCACTCATCAGACTGAGCAGAAGGTTCCCCTAAGCACAGCAGAGCTGACTCACCATATTTTAAAGTAGGTGAAGTAATACACATTACCATCTAAAGAGCTCCCCACCCTAAGACCATGAAGTCCAGAGTCTAAAATTACCTAACGGCACCACTGCTTCTCTCCAGCCACAGAAAGCCCTTCCCAAGCTTTGCTTCTGGTTGAACATTTTGTTTCTTGACCCAAGAACATTCTCAGGAAGCCACAGTTCTGGAAAGTCCTGCCCTTATTTTCCCTTCCTTGTTTAGCCTCCCACCACGTTGGTATATACGCAGAGGACTTTGTTCTATTGCATTCAATTGAAAGGTTATAATTTGGACTAAAGAAAAATGGCAATGTGAGCTAAACAAATTCAAACAATTTCACTAATCAGGGTTGCTTATCTAACTTTTCAAAGGAGTTTTTTCTCCCAATGTTCCATCCCACTATGTGCAATTAGGCTAAAATAGTAGAAATGAACTGTTTAGCTTTCCCATATCATATTGTGTAGTCTAAGTTGATGGTAAAACAGTAATCACAAAAAAACTTCAGATTTGGTTACCATTACAGCCAAAGTAAAGTTAATACTAATTGCGTGGATAAGAACATATGAAGGCCCATCTAGTCCATCATTCTCTTCTCACAGTGGCCAGCCAGATGCCTGTGGGAAAACCTCAAGCAGGACATGAATTCAATAGCCGCCTTCTCACTTGTGATTCCCGGCAACTGGTATTCAGAAGCATATTGTCTCTGAATGTGTGTTGTTATGGACAGATAGATATGGATGGAGTAGGAAGAAATTGGATAGTTTTTTCCTCATCTTAATTATTGCCCAATGGCTGTAATAAGATAGTAAGAAGAGCCCTGCTGGATGAGGCCAAAGACCCACTCTGTTCTCACAGTGGTCAGCCAGATGCTTATGGGAAGTTCACAAGCAGAACCTGAGCGCAACAGCACTCTCCCCATCTACAGTCCCTAACAACTGGGATTCAGAGGGATACTGCCTCCGTCAGCAAAGCTCAAACATAGCTATCATGACTAGAAACCTCTAATACCCTCCATGAATTTGTCTCATCTTCTTTTAAAGCTAGCCAAATTGGTGGCCACTTTAACTTCCGGGGCAGGGGGGGGATCCACAACTACGCGCTGCATGAAGAAGTACTTTTTAATGAAATGTGTCCTGAATCTTCCAGCATACAGCTTCATCGGCTGTTCCTGAGTTCTAGTATTTTGTTTGAGAGACGGAAAAATACCTTCTCAATCCACACCATGAATAATTTTGTACACCTCTATCGTGTCCCCTCCTTACCTTTTCTATATAAAGGAGTTCTTCATAAAGGAGTTGCTCTATCCATTTAATCATTTTGTTGCCCTTTGCTGGACCTTTTCCAGCTCTACAATATCCTTCTTCAGGTGAGGTGACTAGTAGTGTGGCAGCTGATCGACGAGCCTGTAGGATTTTGAGATGCATTTTTTTTAAAAAAAAAAAAAAAAGAGGGGCAGGGGTGGACATAGGAGTCACAGACCAGGTACTCCATCCCTTGACATGAGTGAATTCTCGTCACATTAGAGAATTTCCATCATTTTTTTCCCTGCATGCATACTGCTTCTTGCTTACAACATGTCCTTTTGAAGGCTAACATTTTCATTAGAAGGATGTTTCAAGGAGGGAAATGTATATTACGTTTCTTACATGGAAACTGTGGAGTTCCTCATAAGCCCAAAGAAAAACAAGTCATAGTCAGGGAGAACCACATCCCATAAAAGAAATGAGACAACCACAATGAAATGAAATGAAGCCCCACAAAGGAGGTGAGTGGTTTGGCTAGAAGACAATGAAAAGGGCACATCTGGTGAGCTGATGACTCTCCATGAAAGGAACATAGAATGATGCTTGTATTGCATGGTAAAATTATCTGGCTGGCAAGTGGCCTCTAAGGCAAGACCGCTGGGTTATTGGACAGTTTGTTCCATTATCTGTGGCTATGTGCTGTGATTACTTGCCACCTCTTGTGAGGTTGGTCATCCAAAATGTAATGCTTCAGGGGTTCACACTGATAAGTCAATAGGAATATTTCATGAATATCACTGCCAGCTGGGAAGCAGAGTAATATTTGGGGAAAGGAATCTGATTATAAATGGGTCAGAAGACTCTAGGAAATAGCATCATGGGCTGGAAGGTGCCTGCTGGTCATAAGTTGTGAGGAGGAGATACATTCCCTGGATTCAGAGAATTCATAAACCACCCTATAAATTTAGCATCAGTTACTAAATTCTTATCAGTTTTGTTCAGGCATGATCACACTGCCAACTCTCATCATCTTTAAGGGGAATTTAAGGAACGCAGGAAGCTGTCTTATATTGAATCAGAACATTGGTCTATCTAGTTCAGCTTTATGTACACTGACTAGCAGTGACTGTTCAAAGTCTGACATAGGAAATGTGCAGCCTTACCTGGAAATGCTAGGGATTGAACCAAGGATCTTCTGCATTTAAGGCAGATGCTTTCCCACTAGGCCATTCAGTAACCTCTAGGGCCAGATGATCCTAAGTGCTCTTCTACCTTAGCAGAAGGTATTGATCACTGTGACTCCAAAGCTCAACAAGAAGTGACCTGACCATGGCAAAGGACAGGTTGCAAAATCCTGTGCTTTCAGAAAACTATCATGTCTAGATAGAGAAGACCAATTCTAGAGTGTGCTCTGCTATATGAGTTGGGCCAATGATATGTTGGGAGAATCCTATGGGCATCATAGCCTCCACAAAGCTGTTGTGGAGTTGTTGTGGATTGAGTGGTCCTGACATGGATATGAAGATCTGCCAGGGCAATAAAATTAAGTTTGGCTCTTAAAAACATAATCACAAAAAACCCCATCTAGCTGAGCATCCTGTTCTCACAGTGGTCAACCAACCTATAGAAAGCCAATAAGCAAGATCTGAGTGCAACAATTTTCTCCCCGCTTGGGGTTCCCAGCAGCTGGTATGCAGAGACATACTGCCTCCAATTCTGAACATGCTTGTGTGTGGTATCTTATCAATGTGCAAACACTGGATAAAGACCCATTATGTGATCATGCATGGAATCACATCACGTGAATTAACCCTAATATGCAGAGTTCCCCAGACTGCCCTCTCCATGATTATTTGTGCATTTAGCATTCAAAGCAATCATTCTAAGAGCACAACTGCACCTCCAAGGAGCATCTCATCTCAAGATACGAACCAGCAAGTTGTGTTTTTAGCAGCTGACACTGCACACGTGTGGAGCGGACAGTGACTGGTATTTTTAAAAACAAATTGTCATGTTGCTTTTGCCCAAGCATCACAGGTATCATTATTGAAACCCACCAGTGTTTAGTGGAAGTGCCACTGCTACACACAAAACCACGCCCAGAGTCTCAGATTTCTTAAATATAGTTGTGCTCAAAGAGTTCCTCTCACCACTTTGTTGGAGTTGGCTTCTTCTCTCCATTCCTAAAGTACTTTTAAAACACACACAAACACACACCAAAATTACATATCTATCAATGTGGCAAGTTATTTTTAAAGTTTCCAAGGATCTACTTCCTCAAGTAGATCACTTTTTCTTCTTGAGAGATATTAACATCACACTGAGCTCTGTCTCCAACTCTGAACCCTGGAAGTGCAGGATTAAAAAAGCTCAAAGGGCTTCAGTTCCTGCCATCCACAAAGGGGGTGGCAGCAAAGTAACCAGACTGCCGGGCTCCCCCAATACTAGCTAGCCAACACAATTTTTTTTTAAAAAAAGCTTGGATATGGGCAAGTAGTAGGTCACAAGAAGGGATGTGAATGTCTCCATCTGAAACCCTAGAGAGCCACTGCTGGTCAGTGCTGAAAATGCTTTGTGAGATGGAATAATGATTTCACTCAGTTCAGGGCAGCTAAAAGGGGAAAGCTAGAATTAATTGATAACTTTCTGTTTTCTTGCATGTTTTTAATTGAAACCTATGTTGTTTGCTTTGCATATAAACTTTTTTAAAAAACAGTGATATGCATTAATGAGATATAGTTTCCTGCAAGCAACCTTCCAGAATTAGACTTACCGTATTTTTTGCTCTATAAGACTCACTTTTTCCGTCCTAAAAAGTAAGGGGAAATGTGTGTGCGTCTTATGGAGCGAATGCAGGCTGCGCAGAAGCCAGAACAGCAAGAGGGATTGCTGCTTTCACTGCACAGCGATCCCTCTTGCTGTTCTGGCTTCTGAGATTCAGAATATTTTTTTTCTTGTTTTCCTCCTCCAAAAATTAGGTGTGTCTTGTGGTCTGGTGTGTCTTATAGAGTGAAAAATATGGTATCTTTTTTTAAAAAAGTCTCCATGAAAAATTCATCAGCCTTTTAGTGCAAATTTCTCATAATGTACGCATGCTTCTATGCAATTTTCATTTTAAAAACATTTTTGTAAAGCAGTTTCCCCTAATAATTGTGCTTTTTAAAATGCTATTTTCACCATAGAATCATAGAATCTTAGAGGTGGAAGGGACCCAATGGTCTTCTAGTCTAACCCCTTGCAATGCAGGAATCTCAGCTAAAGCATCCATGACAGATGGCCATCCAACCTCTGCTTAAAAACTTCCAAGGAAGAAGAGTCCACAACCTCCTGAGGGAGACTGTTCCACTGTGGAGCAGCTCTTATTGTCAGAAAGTTTTCCCGTACGTCTAGTCAGAATCTTCTCTTTTGCAGCTTGAAACCATTGGTTCAAGTCCTACCTTCCATAGCAATATGTGCTTTTTTATGCACACTTAACACAATGTATGTATTTTTGAACACATTACTGCATTCCTAAATTTGGAACAGTGCACATTTTGAGGAATGGCCACGTTTTGGTTAGCATACAGTTTCATAACTTGTGAATTAGGTAGATTTGCCTTTAGATGTGAATTGAATTGAAGTTTCCCTCCATCTCTACTCACAAACACCCTTTGGCCACAACAAAAGTAAGATAAGCACCTCAGAAACTCTCAAACTTCCCCATGAGAATTTCTCCAAAATGTTCTCTCTACTTTAATAAGGAAATAAAATACATTTGAAAATTATCAAAGGAGAGAGAACAGTGAAGGGGGGGGGGATTTTCTGCAGAACAGTAGATTTCATGCTCTGTCTATGGCTGATAATATAATGTGCTTTCCTCCCAAAACTGTCTGCTTAAGACAGCTTCCCCTGATTTTGATATGGTATAAGTTCTCTTTTCCTGAGCTGAAGTGAGAGAACAGCTAAGGAAGTTTGTTATTCTTGGGGGCTGGCTTTATACATGTCTCTTCTTGATTTTTGTCATGACATTTTCTGAACCAATTGTTGATTGGAACCAGGCCAGTTTTTTCCTTACAAAAAAATCTTTAAAAAAACCTCCCTTCTCTGAAATTAATGCTTTTCATGATAACTTACATACAAACCTAGCTGATAATAGCTATTTCAGTTGTTGCTCAGTGCTTTAAACAAGCTTTAACCATTGATAAATTTTGCATTTCTTTGTACATCAAAATGATAAGGGAAGAAACTTTGACACAGTCTTTTGATTCTTCATTTAGCCCCCAGTTTTTCCCCTCATCAGAACGTTCTTCTTCAGATAGCATTGATCACCAAGCAATCCTTCAATAATTCATTCTGACAGAAAAACTCCACTGATGAAAATGTTGGGCTCTGGAACGATTCTGCCACTGGCTTTTGAACCACAGTCTACATAAGAGAGGTTACAACTTAGCTGTCTGTGGACAAACGCCAGCTCCCTTGGCCTGAAGTGAGATGAGTGTTGCACCCCACAGTTGCCTTTGACTGGACTTAACTGTCCAGGGGTCCTTTACCTTTTTAAAACTTAGAAGTCATCTGTAATGAAGAAGTAAGGGAAAAGGGAAACTGAGAATGCCTGTTATGATTATTTTGGGGAAAACAAATTCCCCTTGGGTCCCCTGAGGGTTATCTAGTCCAACCCACTGCAATGCAGGAGTTGCAGATTTAGGCAAGAGAGGCAGATTTAGGCAATTGTGACTGGTTGCATTGGGCATGGAGCCTTGGGAGTGCTGCAAGTACAGGGCCATCTTTACAAGGAACCATTAGTGAGCCTTCTTGGGGTTCGGTCAGTCAACCAGCTACAAATCCACCTAACTGTTACCTCATCCAGCCCACATTTTACCAGCTTCTTCACAAGAATATCATGGGAGACTTTGTCAACAGAATAACTTAATTTTTCTTGATCTTCCAGGAGACTTTCAAGCCAAGAACAGTGGTTTTCATAAGCACTGGACCACATTTTTGTGACATTCAAAATTGAAAGTTCTCTCCCCAGCCTCTGGCTTAAAGGCAGGAAACAAATTTGCCCACTGGCAATTTCTGCTCCCATTTCTATTTTTGTTTGAATTCTCTGACATCCCTAATTATGATTTTCTGGGTGTTTTAATTGTTATTTTCTAGTGATTTCTAAATTTAAAGCAGTAAATCCTAAATTTAAAGCAGTCTAAATTTAAAGCAGTTTTTGAAATAAATTAAATGTGTAATTGCATGGTGTCATAGTGTCTGTGACCTGAGGGGTGTTTGCCTTCTAGACAGCAACTGTGTTCAGGTTTGACATCCCATAGCTGCCAACGTGTAAAGAAGCTAAGAACCTTTAGCCCCAAAATAATCTAGGGAAAACCAGCCCTTCCTGATAGAATCTGTAGCCCCACAAATCCTGGACCAAGCGAAACCTAGGTTGTTTCTGGATGTCCTTGGAATTCAAAAACACGAACGAAACAGTCCACTCACAGTCTTTTGAGCACTAAACCCACAAGTTAGTCAGTAGCATATGACCAAGTAGCCACGTACCAGATTCAGAGCTAATGCTTACTCCAAGAAGCTACACAAAGGATAAATACAATACTTTTAAAAATAGGTTATGAATGACAGAATAAGAACCATTTACAAATAAGGTATATTTAAGAAAGGCTAACGGTGTAAAGACACTTTTCCGGGTTTGAAAACAGACCGTAATAGCTTGTCTCACTCTAATACCAAACATTAGAGTCACAGATCCCACTGCATCCAGGCACATGTGGTTTGTTGCATCACACAGTCATTCATTCTGATGGGGGGTCATTAGATCAAAAACCCTTTTTATTCAAAAAGGCCTGGATACAGAAGGATAGGTTTTCCTTCGGCCAGTAAGGGCTTAGGGGCACAAAAATAGACATAAACAATAAATAAAACATCATAAACCAAACTGAACCACATTTCCACATAAATGATAGAAAGATTTAAACAAAAGATACAAACTCCTAAGCAACTCCCCCAACCCAAGAGTCTGTTCAGAAGCCTCAGCTTTTGTAGCTGGAGTCAGTCAGGGCCCCACCCTCCCAGGCCAGGTGGCAAAAAGCTTGCAAGAACTCACAGCCAAGATGGTCCACAGTGAAGGTTTTTGAAGACAATTTCTAGGAGCAAATTCCTAGGAGCTAACTAATTTTAAACTCTGCTTACATTCACAGCTGAAAACATGCCACTTGCATTCCCCAATGCATTCAATCTCACAGTTGTTATTTATTTGTATTGCTACAGGTATGAACTGATGGTGCTCCCATTCCATGGTTTTGCTGTCCTCTAGTGCATGACTGAAGAACAAAATAAATGTAAGTTTTTGAGTGCTTATTCTACACCAAGCAGAAAAACGTAAGTGTTCCTACTCCGCCACCAAGTGGCCATGTTGCATAAAAATAGCAAGCATCTTTAAGGAGCAATATGTGTTGGAATATAAACTGCACTGAGGATTTAGCAATGCCGAAAAAACATGATGCTTCTTTTATTTATTTATTTTAAGCATTTCTTTCCTTGTTGGTTAATCATGCTCTTAACCCCAAAAAGGTTCCTGCAGTGGTTTTGTTGTTTAGTTGTTTAGTCGTGTCAGACTCTTCATGACCCCATGGACCAGAGCACACCACACACTCCTGTCTTCCACAGCCTCCCGCAGTTTGGTCAAACTCATGTTATTAGCTTCAAGAACCATTCACAGATCAATAAAAACAAGGCAGTTCCTGTATTGAGACTTACAACCCAATCTATATGAGCCTAAAGGAAAATGGATTGGGAGGGAGAAGGAAAGGGGCAAAACCAGACACTAGCTTTTAATTACAAGTTCTCCTAGTTATTTATTTAACAGGATTTATATGCTGTTTAGTCGCCTAAAAGTGGCTTATATAAATCATACCAATAACATCAAACGTTAAAAAGAAGTTGACCTAAACTTCATACAAATATAAACCCAACAGTTTAAACACAAATGTGCATAATAAAGTAAAATCACATGTTAAAATGGCTTGCCGGGGTAGGCTTACCTATCCCAAAAAAGTTTTAAGCAGGCACCAAAAGCAGGGCAGTGAACATACAAGCCTAATCAATGGGCAAGGAATTCCAAACAGTAAGTGTTGCCACAATGGAGGATTGATTCCATGCAACTGAAGAACGAACATTATGTGGAACTTGTAAAAGTGTCAGTTCCACAGACTGGAGTGATCAAGTGGGCACATATCGGGGAAGGTGATCCATAGACTATATACCAACAGTAAGATCTTGATTTTGGCCCTGGGTAGCAAATAAGCAGCCAGCACAAATCTCTGAGAGGCAGTTTAATATGCTAACAGGGTATCACTCCTGTCAGCATCACTCACTGAGCAGCCCTTTTTAGGATCCACTCTGCTCACCCTGAAAAGGCAGAGGAGCTAGAAAAGGTGCCCTAAACATAGGCTGCCTCCCTTTTTCCTTGACTGGATTACCACACCCAGTGGGGTCACCACCTAGCGATCGTAAAAGACAATTGAACTTTGGAACATGGACTTTGTCGGATAATGCAGATAACAAGCATCCTGAACGCAGAACTGCCATCATAGCAAGAGAGCTGCAACATTTTAACATCGATATTGCAGCGCTTCAAGAGACTCGAAGAGCAGGTGAGGGACAACTGAAGGAAGAAAAAGGAGGCTACACATTCTTTTGGAAAGGTCTATCTGAATAAGAACATCAAATACACGGGGTGGGCTTCGCTATCAAAAACGATCTTGTGAAGCTCCTGTCAGAAGTCCCTACCAACATTAATGAGCAACTCTCAACCTTTTGAATAAAACTCACCAAAACCCAACAGGCTACTATTATAAGTGCTTATGCACCAACATTGGATGCCAATGAAGACATTAAAGAAAAATTTTACTCTCAGCTGGATACCGTCCTATCAGAGACGCCTAAGGAAGATAAAATTATCCTCCTGGGTGATCTTAATGCAAGAATTGGGTGAGATTTCGATCTGTGGTCTGGGACTATTGGGAAAGAAGGAATTGGCAAGAGCAACCAGAACGGAATCTTACTTTTGACAATATGTGCAGCGCATAACCTTGTTATTACCAACACACTCTTTTGACAGAAAAATAAATTTAAAACTTCATGGAGGCATCCTCAGTCAAACCACTGGCATCTCTTAGACTATGTGATTGTCCATGCTAAAGATCGCCATGATGTGCTCCTTACCAGAGCTATGACAAGTGCCGATGACTGCTGGACATATCACCAACCAATACACTCCACGATGGCTTTCAAGATTATACCTCAACACAGGCTTCAAGGAAGGAAACCAAGGAGCAAAATGAACACTCAAGCCCTTCAAGATCTCGTTAAGTGGGATTGCTTCCAAATGACTCTTAAGGACTATCTGCTTTCAGAATTTCCTGATAACATTGATGAACACTGGACCAAGCTAAAAACATCCATTATTGCAGCCGGTGAACAAACTATTGGATACGAAACCAAGAAACACCAGGACCGGTTTGATGAGAATCACAGTGAGATTGAACGCATGATTGACAAGAAAAGGAAGGCTTTTCAGATCTGGCAAAGACATAGAAACTGTGCCACTAAGAAAAAAACCTATGCCAACCAAGGCTGAGGTTCAAAGAAGAACCAGAGAACTAAAAAACACCTAGTGGATAAAAAAGCTTAAGAAATTCAGCACTTAGCTGACACTCACGGTGCACAGAGTTTCTTTAAAGCCACGAAGACCATCTACAAGCCAATAAATCATGGCATATGACCCCTATGCTCAGCAGATGGTACCACACTGCTAAAAGATAAAGAAGCTATGGCACTGCCTAGAAAGAACATTACCAACATCTCCTTAACCGCAACTCCCCCGTAGCTGCTGAGGTCCTCTCACAAATTCTGCAAAAACAAGTTACAGATGAGCTTGTGGTATCTACAAATCTGGAAGAGTTGTGTACAGCTATTAACCAAATGAAAAACAACAAAGCCAGCAGACCTGATGGGATACCTGCCAAAGTCTTCAAAGTGGGTGGAACTGAACTTACACAACAACTTCACAAGGTCATCGAAAAAATCCGGGAGAGAGAAGAGATCTCAGCAGACTTTAGGCGTGCCAAAATTATCAATCTCTTTTTAAAAAAGGTAACAGAACTGACTGCCGAAACTATCAAGGCATCTCTCTATTAGCTGCGGCCAGCAAAATTTTTGTAAGGATCTTAGCAACCTTCTCTTAACAATATCTGAGGTGACCCTTCCTGAATCCCAAAATGGTTTCCGGCCTTTTAGGGGGACAGTGGACATGATTTTTACCCCTCGACAGCTTCAAGAAAAATGCAGAGAGCAAAACCAATCCTTGTATATAGCATTTATTGACTTAAGGCTTTCAACACTGTAAATCGTAATGCCCTGTGGACTGTCCTTCTGAAAGTTGACTGCCCAGATAAATTTGTGAACCTCATTCGGCTCCTCCATGATAATATGACAGCAACAATCGCAGATAACAATGGCTTTCAAAGTGAACCATTCACAGTGGGATCAAGTGTTAAACAGGGTTGTGTCATTGCCCCAATATTCATTATTTTCATTGCCATGATCCTACACTTTGTTGAAGGGAAACTCCCCACCGAAGTAGAAATCATATATCGAACAGATGGAAAGCTCTTCAATCTGAGCAGGCTGAAAGCAAAGAGTAAAGTTACTGTAACTTCCGTCATAGAGCTTCAGTATACTGATGACAATGTAGTGTGTGCATGCTCAGAGGTTGACCTCCAAACCATCCTAAATATCTTTGCAGAAGCTTACAAAAAACTTGGCCCATCACTCGACATCCAAAAAACTGAAGTGCTGCACCAACAAGTACAAAATAAGCCTTCTGCAGCTCCACACATCCAACTCAATGGTGCAATGTTGGAAAATGTCTATCACTTCTCCTACCTAGGCAATTATCTTTCCACAAGGGCCAACATTGATGCTGAAATCCAGCATCGCCTGAGCTTTACGAGTGCGGTTTTCTCCCAGTTGAAGTGCAGAGTGTTTGAGGACATTTGCAGGGAAACCAAAATGCTTGTTTACAAAGCTATTGTACTAGCAACTTTACTGTATGCTTGTGAAACATGGACCACTTATAAACACCATCTCCAACTCCTTGAAAGATTCCATCAATGGTGTCTCCGAAAAATTTTACACATCACTTGGGAAACCAGCTGAACTAATACCAGTGTACTGGAAGAAGCAAAGATCACCAGTGTTGAAGCAATGATTCTTCAACATCAACTTCATTGGATTGTTTATGTTGTGCAGATGCCTGATTATTGTCTTCCAAAGCAACTACTCTATTCTGAACTTAAAAATGGAAAGCGTAATGCTGGTGGTCAACAAAAGAGGTTTAAAGACTGTCTCGAGGCAAATCTAAAAAAATGTAGTATAAACACCAATAATTTGGAAACACTTGTCTTCGAGCACACCAATTGGAGAACAGCCTTTACCAACGGTGACATGGGCTTTGAAGACACTTCAACTCAGGACGCAAGGGAGAAGCGTGCTAAGAGGAAGGCACACTTGGCAAATCCACACTGTGACCAACTCCCACCTGGAAACCAATGTCCCCACTGTAGAAGGACGTGTGGTTCCAGAATTGGTCTCCACATTAACTTACGGACTCATTGTTAAAACTGTGCTCATGGAAGACAATCTTACTCGGCTACGAGTGATCGCCAGAGAAGAAGAAGACTCCTGTCAGCAATCACACAGCAGCATTCTGCACCAGCTGTGATTTCTGAACCAAGTACAAGGCAAGCCCCACACTAAGTGCATTGCAGCAATCTAATCCAATCTTCTAATGACCACATGAAGTTTGGAACAACTTTTCAAAGACATCCTGACAGAGAATGAATTGCCATGACCTAGCTTGGACGGGATCAAGGCATAAGTAAACATGGACAGATTCTCCTCCTACTGGAAAGGAGGCAGTTGATGCATGGCCAAAGCTGAGGAAATGCACTTTTAACTATAGCCACCATCCTGCTCAAAAGCAGCATCTGAGCACAACAGCACTTTCTTCTCCTGCAGTTTCTTTTTTTTTTTTAATGATATTTATTGGAAATTTTTTTTTTGAATTACAAAAGAAAGCAAAGTAGAAAAAGAACAAAGAAAGAACAAAGAAAAACACAAACCACATCCAACAATACAAAAAAAAAAAACAAATTAAAAAACAAAAACAAAAATACACCACAAACTTTTTAAAACAAATCCATTATTCTCAAACCCTCAACTGTCATTACCTTCTTTCTTTGACCTCCTCCTCCTCCCTATTTTTGTATCCTAGTTGTTAATTGTTGCAGCAAATCCTTTCCATATTTCATAAAATTCTGTCATTACATTACCTTAAACTATTTTAATCTTATCTTACTATAAAAAACCTTGAAACTTAAAACTTAAATCTTATTTTTACCAACTTCTCATAACCATAATATTCTTACATAATTCTTTAAACATTTTTACTAAAGCCAAGTAATTTCATTCCAACATTTTTCTAACATTCATCAATTTTATAAAACAATCCTAGTAGTAGAAAAAGAAATAAAAACAATCCAATCTTCATCCAGCGTCCCTTCCTCCTGGTCCTGGGTTTTGTCAGTCCTTATTTTCCCATTGATCTAGCGCATTAACCTGGTAACCTTATATCCGAGGCCCTTAAGTCTCTTCCATGTCCCTTCCGCAGCTCTTCTTCATATTTGTAACTGTATTTTCCATTGTCTCCTGCTCGTTTCACTCGTGGGAACTCCAGCTTAACAATGTTTTTGACCCTTTTCAACAGATCAGCCCCTTTTCCATAGTCCAAACTAAACTCCATGTGGTATTTAAAAACGTGTTTCAGAATCCCTCCAAAATTAAGAGCCCCCACAATCCCAGACATCTCACGGCCCATTGCCAGACTTGGAAAGTCCAGACATCCCTGCATAGGGGGGTCTATCCAGCCCCCCATTTCCAAACCAAACCAAACTTTTTCTTTCCAAATCTGGCTTTTTCCAAGTTCATTTGTCAAATCCGAAAGCTCATGTTCCTGTTGGGCCTGTTCTGTCAAGGCACACTCCTGATTTAATTCCTGGGTGGGCTCCACATATTTTCCCACTGCCTGTTCAAAATTTCCCACTGCCTGTTCAAAATTTCTAATCGAATCAGCCATCAAATTCGTCTTCTCATGTAGCTGTTCCAATAGGGCATTTGTTTTATAGAAAGCACACAACAGAGCTTCTGAATACATTGTCCTGCAAGGTCAGATGTCTATTCCCACGATTGTAATCTGTAACAGCTGCCAGCTCCCCGGAGTTGGTTACAGTTTCACAGTCTCCCTCTAGGGGGAAAACTTCTATTTGTTCTTTCTTTTAAAGACAAGTCTAGCGACAAAGTTTCCTTTTTCAGATATTTTGTCAATATTTGTTCCTTTAAGAAGCGAAGGGGAACAATGGAGTCAAAGTTTCTCTTCTTATAGCTATCTGTCAAAAACGTTGTCTCTGGTCAATGAGCTTCAAAAAAAACGTCAGTCCTAACACCCCGCTCCAGGATCAGGACGGTGGAAAGTTACTTTACTTTACCCTCACTTCTGCAGGTTTAAACAGTCCGAAAAAATCCCCCCCTCTTCTCCTGCTTCCAAAGGGGGTTCAACAATTTTAAATGATGAAAGTTAATCTTTTACAGGCGATTTTCTGAGCTCTAGTTTGCCATGTCTTTGCTTTAATCTATCTACAAAGAAACGGAAGGCTGACTTCCTGTTTAGACCTTCCCGTTTCAACGCCAAATTAAGGTAAACTTTTAAGTCCAATTTTCCTTTCTGCTCACAGGTCCTTATTTAGAGTCCAATTGTCCGAGTTTAGGTACTCACGGGTGATTATTTTAGAAGCCAGATTGTCCCAGGAAAAAGGCAGCGCTCTCTGGCAACGGCTGTGCGGCTTCGCTCCACAGAAGAAGCAGTTGACTCTCAGCACCGTGCCACTTCCCCCTCTTCGCTCCGGAGCCCATTAATGGGTTCTTTTGCGGGTTGGGGGGGGCGCTAAGAGTGCCCGCCGAGTCCCATGGTCACAGGCTTCATCCGCCTGTGATTTTTGAATGGGTCCCCGCTTCGCCGTAGCGGAAAAGACCCGATTCCCGTGGAACTGGTCCCTCCAGTTCAGAGGGAATCCGCCATTGCCGATGGCGCCACCCCGGAAGTTCTCTTCTCCTGCAGTTTCTAGCAGCTTGTATTCAGAAGTATATTGCCTCTGACTATGGAGGCAGACCACATCCATCAGAGTTAGTGGCCACTGATACTCTTATCCACCATAGAATCCTCCTCTACATGGGAGAAGATCCTGGGCCAAACAGGATTCTTCCCTGTGTGCAGAAGCTGTACAGATGTAACTCAGTGCACTTTTAAGTCTCCTCATTTGTGCCATATGCATAGGTAAGGTAAAAAAAAGATACAGTACCCCTGGACAGTTAGGTCCAGTCAAAGGTGACTATGGGGTTGCAGCACTCATTTCTCTTTCAGGCCGAGGGAGCCAGCATTTGTCCACAGACAGCTTTCTGGGTCATGTGGCCAGCATGAATAAACCGCTTCCGGCACAACAGAACACCATGGAAACCAGAGCGCACAGAAATACTGTTTACCTTCCAGCCGCGGTAGTACCTATTTATTTATTTCCACTGGCATGCTTTCGAACTGCTAGGTTGGCAGGAGCTGGGACAGAGCAACAGGAGCTCACTCCGTCACAGGGATTCAAGCCGTCAACCTTCTGATCGACAAGCCCAAGAGGCTCAGTGGTTTAGACCACAGCGCCACCCATAGCCTGGTGGCATAGTTGGTGGGTGGCACATGCATTTGAGGCTTGTCCATAGGGGCAAGTGGAGCAGGGTCATACCAACCTGAGTCTGCTCTCAGCCAATCTCTATCTGCCTGCTTTTTCCTACTCACCAACACCTCTGGTTGGGCTCTCTGCCTTCCACCCTACTAGCCTCAATAGACACCAGCCACCACTGGACATGTACAGCATTGGTGAGTGAGAGCTGACACAGGACGCATTGCCAGAAGTGGCTGTGTGATGTAACTACCCTATATTCTTTCCGGGACAATCGTATCATTAGGCACGCCCTCCAGAGATAAAATTGTTTTTATATATGAAATTGTTTCAGGCATGTTTTTATATGAGAAATTGTTTGATAGGGGTTGCAGCCAGTGTAGAACTGTTATAGTTACTTAGCGGTAGACTTGTTGTGGTGATGAAATGTCGCTGCACAAGGGAAAACATAAGAATATAGATCATCGTGCCACCGGTTGTGCAACAATGACCGACTGTTACACAACAAGCACCGGCTGTTGTACAACAAGAATTACAGTAGGTGCTCTGCAACAAGTTGTTGCATTGGATTCTTTTCTTGTGCAACTGTTAAACTTGGCCACCAGATGGCACTGTGGAGTCCCATCTTTTCCAAATGGATTTCTCTATATGAGTTTACATCGCGTTTAACTGAAATGCTTCTTTGATGTGTCTAGATCCAGCCCAAGTCTGAAACCAATAACCAAAGCACACCTAATTAATATACACACTAAAACAAATTCATCAACTCTTTAAAATAAACAACCAGTATTGATATGTACAATAATTAAATTAGTTATAACAGCAGTTAAAAGATTTAAAACAGGAGGTTCAAGTCAGGTAATTGTTACAGATCCTGTCTGGGTAAAAATGGATTGTGAACTTTAAACAACAGCCTTGCTGTGTATGCCAAAGTTGACCAGGCCTGAGACACACAGCTGGGGAATCTTTGCAAAAGAAGAATGCAAGAATACCAAGATGGACTTATTTGCTAACTAAATGTTATAGCAAGGGTGTTCTCTGCTTATTGAAGAGTAGCCCTGAAAATGGGGAACAGGAAATAGATTGAAGGAATCATCCTAACTAGGCAGGCTTAATTCATACACACAGCTTGGTGGTAAAACAGAGAACCATGACCATCTTATTAATTTTGGAGAGTTAAATCATGCACCTTTTGAAAATGTATAATGGCAAAATCACCCCACAGCTCTTCAAGAACATAAAAGGAGTCTTTGCTCATTTGGCTTTCATATTTTATATCCTTCATGTGAAACAACTCTCTCCATTGATCTTGTAGAGTGGCCTTTATTTTGGAAGGAGAGTGCCCTATTACAGAGGCAACCTGCTGGGCTTGAAGGACCAGGCGGGAACTGTGCAATGCTGTGTCCTTAAATGTTAATAGCTGATAAAATTTTTGTTAGGAGATAGTTACAGGCAGCCTGATTTCCCAGGAGCTGCATTAGTGCTGATCTAAAATGTGGCCTTCCCATTTCACTACCCCATTTGAGGATGGCAGGAGTGAAGTGGGGAGCCATTTTGGCTATCTCTCAAGTGAGAATCCTTCTTTGGCCTGCCCATAAAAAGTATAGCATGAGAGACTAGGGTGATGTCTGCTGTTTCCAGGAACTCTTCTCATTGTGAGGCTGCTGTGGGTGAGCTGAGAGTTTATTTGTACTCTGGGTGAGAACCCAGAAGCTGTGAGGGAGGGTGCATGAGAAAGATAATGGATTTGTATTGATTTATATATATTAGTAATTTTGTACTTATGTAACATTTTTATATGTGGTTGTGTATTTGTTTAAATTGTCTGTTGTTGCTTCAGTTTTCTGTAAACTGCTTAGAGATATTTTTAATATATTAAGTGGTATAGAAATTCAATAATCAAACAATCTATCTATCAATTGACCGTGGAGGCATAACATTGCCATCATGGCTAGTAGCCATTGATAGAGTTCTCCTCTCTGACTTGCCTGGACAGAGAGGGCTGTGTGTGTGTGTATAGTAGCCTCTGAATTTTATGTGGCTTGAATGTAGCTAATAACAGGCAGAGTCAGTTAATACTTGTTTTGCCCACATTCTCCTCCCTGCTGAGTTCTACAAGGGGTAAAACTAAGACTAAGAAGGAGGAAACTGACAGATAGTAAGTAAGAAGGAAGGCAGGTGGGGACAAACTGACGACAGACTGAAATTCATGGCACAGTGACCCACTGGCCCCATCCTGGCCCTGGCCCTGACCTTGTCATATACCTAAGGTTGATTTTGGGTCAACTGAAAAGGGGAATTCAGATGTGCTATCACGGCTTAGCACACACGTCCAAGTTTAGCCAAAAGTGTTTGAGGCATTAATAATCAGCTCTTGCAGAGGAAAAGAGAGACGTCTTGTCACAATCAGGCTGTAAAAAAAAAGATTATCACTGCCCTGCGCCTTCATTTTTAATAAATATTTGCTGTTTGCTTGCCAAAAAGCTGTAGAGTGCTGTTTGACTTCCTCAGCTTCCCTTTTCACATACAATCCATCAAAACCCCAACTGCTAAACTCCACCGGAATGTCTATTCTGTTTATTTATTCCATTCACTCTGCTTGGCTCACTGGGGGCAAATAACCTGTCTTAAGCTGTGGCAGATGCTATTTTATATATTTTTGAGACAAGTGAATGTGAAGCGGATCTGGATTAGAGGTGGCATTTCCTCTTAGGGTCTGTAAGATCCAGACAGCTGCTCTGGCTGTTCCCATATGGGAAGCATGCCCTCAAAACCTGATGCGGCATTCATACATATTCCTGATCCTCCCCTGCTGGCTACCTGTGTCCATCTGTTACAATGCTTCAGTGCCAACTTGTAACTTAATCAGCCCTGTCCTTAATGCTCAGTTTCCAGGCAAAGCACTAGGTTAGGCAAACAACACCCTGCATGACAATAACCCAGTCAATGGCTCACTACATAAGTTTACCTGCATTGTGGATTCTGTTCCCTTGATTGAAGCATTAGGGACACACATACTCTCTCTTTTGCTTATGTTAGTGTAGTGAATCCTCTTTTATCCCAAGGGTCACATTTCCTTCTTCAATACCTTCCGAGTGTCACATGTCCATGGTGGGTGGGAATAGAGGAGAAAGTGGGTGGAGCAATACATGGAGATACTTGCCTTTGAACAGTAGGCTAGTCTCACTCACACAAATTTCTGAAGGGTTGTCACATGGAAGATGGAGCAAGCTTGTTTTCTCGTGCTCTGGAGGGTAGGAGATGAACCAATAGCTTCAAGTTACAAGTAAGGAGATTCTGACTTAACACCAGGAGGAACTTTTTGACAGTAAGAGCTGTTCCAAAGTGGGACAGATTTCCATGGGAGGCGGTGCACTCTCATTTCTTGGAGGTATTTAAGCAGAGGTTGGATGATCATCTCTCATGGATGCTTTAATTGAGATTCTTGCGCTGCAGGGGATTGGATTAGATGACCCTTGGGGGAGGGTACCTTCGAACTCTCTCATCTCCATCCAGACAAGCAAGGGGCATTATCAGAGTTCAAGGACACATTCCAGCTAGGCAGAAACCCTCAAGGAGGGTGCAAGGAAGGGCCAGGGAGGGTTATGATTGGGGAATGGGTGTGGGAGAATGGATTCTTGGGAGAATCCCAAGAGCCAGATAAAGAACATTAGAAAAGCCCCATAGGATCAGGTCTGTGGTCCATCTAGTCCAGCATTATGTTTTCACAGGGGCCAACCAGATGCCCCTGGGGTGCCCACAAGCAGCACAACAGCACTTAGCCTTAAAGTGATTCTTAGTAACTGGTATTCGGTAGCATACTGCCTCCAGCAGTGGAGGCAGAACATAGTCATCAGGTTTAGTTGCCACTGAAAAGCTTAGAGGACCACTGGCCTAATTAGAAGCCAAGGTTCCTTATTCAGCAAGGTATATGATGATGGAGAAACTTTGCTGAAGGCTGGCAGACCTGGGTCTAGTCTAGAGACGAACTGGAATTTCTCAGTAGATGTTTTACTCTGAGATAATTCTGAGATCTTTCTTTCCACAAGCACCCCCTGCTCCCAAGAAGGCCCTTTTGCAGAATTTTCTCTGAATATTCACTACCATTTTTGCACAGGAGCCACTATTCTCACCTACCTCCATGCCCCATAAGCATGGAGAAGAATCTGCCATTACATGATAAGTATGAAAAGGGAGTATTATCAGGAGAATCAGCAGCTGACCCTCGGTGCCTGAATTTCAGAAGATGGCAGTTTGGAACAAAAACATTTCACAGATTATGATAACGCAGGTGATTTAGCAGTACCATTTATATTCCACAATACAATTCTCAGGACATTGGGGTATTAGCTCTTATTTGCTTTTTAAACATTCTAAATGTACCTAGAAGGACAAATGAAGAGAAAAAGAGAAATATCTGAATATTTTAACCATCCTACTGTAGACCTGAAATTCGTATGTTCTGTGAATGTGTGTCTTTTAGATATAGGGAGTTAAGTGATTGTTTACTTTGAAGTAAGTCCTGTGTGGGGCTTAATCTCTGGTAAGTGCATTTAGAACTGCTGCCTGAAATACTCCTCCAAATCAAAACACTCCCCTTTTAAAAATGTCAGAGCAGAATAATGTAAGACAAGCACAGTGCTATGTAGATCCTTTTGACATTTAACAGCAGCACTTCCAGCGACACCCGATACAATCATGAAGCCACTAAAAAGACAGATGGATCGGAGCAATAAAATGAATGGCTGGCTGGCTAGGCAGAGAGAAAAAAATGTTGCCCTGCATTTTATCTCATCACGGTACTTTTTGCACAAGGAGCTCAAGTCCTCGGATGGAGGAGGCAGGATGAAGTATAGTGGTTGCTTTTCTTCCAGCTTAAATGTCAGAACTTTTGGATCTGTTTTCAAAAGCAGCCATGTCTTTTATTTTATTGACATTTTTGCAATTATTTCCCTTCTCTTGTTCATCAGCTCCTTTAAGTCTGTGCCGGTAGGGAGCCAGGAACAACAACAGCTCAACAAATCATATGAAGATGAATAGAGGAGCAGAAGGACCTTTAAAAAAAGAGAATCCTGAGGGTGAGACACAGACACATGGAGGGCTAATTCTCTTCTATTACTGTATCAAAACCATATTCATTCCATAATTCTTTTCCTCCATTCACATTTGTTTTACTTATTTTTTCTCTCTCCCTCTTGCAGGTTCTTTTAACTTTTGTTTCTGTCATAGCTTATGATGGTAGGAACAGTGGAAATCTTATCAGTGGCTACCTTGTGGTGACCACTCTTCTATTTTCTCTGAATGCCCTTGGTGTGACATCAATTCAAAACATTTTTAAAGGAAAAAGCAAAAAGCTGCTACTGAACAATGTAAACCCCATCAGTCCCTATTTAAGGGCATGCCTTAAATAACAAAAAAGAAAAAAGAAAGCAATCCATATACGTGGGTCCCATTTGGTTTCATTTTTCTCCCATTTTTAATTACAGCAATATACAGTGCTATTATTCTAGAAAAAGAGGTGCCAGAACTCACCATGAATGCCTCCCACCTGAGAGGAGCTGGAACTGAGTTCCAGTGCATTCCGGCTGGAAAAAAGCCCTGGCAGTATATAATTGATCACAATCTCATTTATTCCCAGGTGGTTTTTTTAATCCGTATTGAACTACTGAAACCATATTTTTGAAGTTTCTTCAAATGCCTAATGTCCCTTTAATGTTATTGTCAATTTAACAATATCTAGCTGTTCTCATAGTTTCCTTGCTAATGCCAAATATATTGATAGTTGGCGTGTGGGTTATCTTCCATACTTTAGCAAAGACAATTCTATCTAGAGTAAGGATCTATAACACTTGTGTGCTTGGGCTTTTGAGAGCACTATATTATTTTTGACATAATTTAAAAGGCACAGGAATAGATCATTATTTATATCTATATGAAATATTTCATGCCCAGTATTTTCTAGTCTCCCAACCATTCTACCAAATGGGGAAAAAATCTTACAGAACCAAGATTTAGGGTGCAATCCAACCCTCCAAACTCTATCAGTAGAGCTGTGCAGAATGTTGGAGCCACTGCAGCATCAACAGCCCAGCTGCTAATGATAGTCATAGTGGAGGTGGGTATGGAGGCAATAAGGGCTGAATTGAACCCAATGTCATCGTATGCTGTTAGTGGCACCACTCAGCATCTCAGGGATCCCAGGATGGTTCAGACTCCACCCCAACCTCAGAATGCCCCATTTTGGGGCTTTTTATTGGCTACCACTGGCGGGAAACACAGCAGTGTGCTGCCCACACATTGGGCAGCTGGCAGATCTGAGTAGAAGGACACCTCCACACAATCCAACTTGTCCCCCAGATCCCTCCACTGACCTGTGTTGTTGTTGTTGTTTACTTTACTCTTCCATAGGGTCAATCTACATTATGTTGCCATTTTAACACAGTATTGCTTGTAGCTGAGGAAGTGGATCCTGTTTTAAATAGCAATAACAAAATCCTAGTACTTCAGTTTAGTAAAGCTGACATATTTTGGAAAACCACTGTTGACCCCCCCTCCTTTTCCAACAACTCCCTGAAATCATTTTCTTCTGACTTAATTATTGTCCTTACTTGATCCTGACTTAGTAGAAGCTTCATGTGATGATTTACAACAACTGTAGCAAATGCTGTGATCTGGCAAATCCCCAAACATACCTCATATAAGCTGCTGCTTATAAACCATGTGATAATGTGCTGCCTTTTCATACCACTAGTCCTTCTTTAATAGCCTGTGTTAACAGCAACAATAAACCTTTTCTCACACATTAGGGAAGTGGGAAGTGAATCAAGTTTTATTTTTGCAAAGTGTAGAGCACATTGGTAGTCTGTGACATCCTCAGAAAGCAAGGAAAGTCTCTTAATACCAAAGGTGCATTAAAATCATTGACGTTGAGATTTCTGACTCATTGGAAATAACATAATGTACAGTGGTACCTCGGTTTTTGAACAGCTTAGTTCACAAACAACTTGGAACCCGAACGCTGCAAAACCAGAAGTAGGTGTTCCTGTTTTTGAACTTTCATTTGGAAGCGAAATTTGCTCTGTTTTGAGTCCCCCTGTGTTTCCTGTTGCGCTGCTAATTTACACACACCCCATTGTAATTCAAGCCTTCTGTTTCTAATTGCAGTGTTCTGAGGTGATATTTGGAGCTTATATTTGGTGCTTTTGTTTTTGCTATTTATTTTGCCTTTTTGTTTTGAGGCTTTTTCAGTTAATTTGTTTTTGTGACTGTGTGGATCCCAGTTCAGCTATTGATTGATTGATTATGTGACTGTGGAAATGGATAAAAGCCCCCCATCCAAACAATGACTATCAGTGCAGGTAAGAATTTTTTTAAATTTTTATTTTTATCATCTACAATACTGTTTTATTTATTTCATAGTACAGTACATTATTTATTGCTTTCATTTTATGGATCAATGGTCTCATTAGACAGTAAAATTCATGTTAAATTGCTGTTTTGGGGGTTGTTTTAAAAGTCTGGAATGGATTAATCCATTTTGCATTACTTTCCATGAGAAAGTGAGCCTTGGTTTTGGAACAGACTTCTGGAACAGATTAAGTTTGATAACCAAGGTACCACTGTATAATTATGCTTGCATGAAGTAACATGCATAAGCACATTGGCAACAACAATACAACATGGGCTGTAAGTTGTTGTACAATGTGCTACTTTGTTTTATAAGGATCACCCCAGTGCAGTACCTATGGTGAAGTTGAAGCATGATGCTGTCTTGAAGTCTTCCTGCCATAACCTGGCACTGTGGAATGGTGCAAATTACTGATCTGCCAAATGCTTGTGTTCTGAATTTTCCTTGTGTTCTGAATTTTGAGTATATGACAATATTGCTTTGTAGCTTTTAGCTAGCCTGTACTATATAATTAAAACAGTATCGGGCCACTTTAAACAATCACAGATTCCCTCAAAGAAATGTAGGAACTGTAGTTTGTTAAGGCTGCTAAGAGCTCTTAGGAAACCCCTATTCATCTCACAGAGCTACATTTCCAAGAGTTCTCTAGGAAGAGGGATTGACTGTTAAACCACACCCAACTGGACTCCTTCAAATCCTCCTTGAGTGCTTTTGCCTACTTGGAGTGTAATAATGAATCTGGTTTGCCTGGATGGAGGTGTGTGACTGTGTTTAGCCTACTATACACAAGTAAAATTTACAGTCATTGCTCTGCTCACTGTTGCCTCTGGCTCCACCCATTACTGTCACGTAGCTCCTGGAAAGGTACCCAGAAGGAAATGAGGCCCTTTAGCTGAAAAAGATTCCCCACCGCTGATGTAATGTGAGGCAGGTAGATGAAGGCAAGAGGAACTGGAGTCCCAAACAAGACTTTTTAAAACTGCAACAACAAGAGGGACAAGTGCTGCACCTAGCAGCCTATGTGGACTCCGCTTACCACAACCAGATGTCTTGGGCTGCCACTGTCGGCACATGATTTCCCTATTTTAAAAAAAGTTTGAAAAAGAGAGAGAAGTGTAATAAAATGTCCAAGACAAAGTTGATTTCACGTTCAATATCAAATTTCATTGGAGACTCTCTGTGTAGTTATGAACTTGAACACTAAAACCACAGATGAAGACATTTGTGACCCAGCCATCTTCCTATTGTCCTTTATTGCTGAGATGGGCATTTTGGGAGAAAATCAGTGCTGATACTAAAGATAGGGATCAATAGCTTATTGTGCTTAGTTTGAGTCTCTTGCTTACATGTCAGTCCTCCCATTTGCAAGACAAACAGATCTGATATGATGAGCTATCAGATTTGCCCAGTTGAAGATCAAGTATTTTCATTTGATTGTTGATAATCCCCACTCCACCACACATATTTGTTCCCAGTAATCTCATATTCAGAACTGAGGTATATATATTCCTCCCATATATGGCGAGATGAAGGCTCAGTAGGTGCCTTGTTGTTAGCTACTTCTCTCTGATACTTTTAATTTTTTAAACTCATCAAAGCTTGCAGACATCACCATTTCAGACAGCAAATTCCGTAAGTTGGTTATGCTTTGAAGGTGATTTTTAAAAAACTTTCCTGATTCTACTGCCTCTTGACTTGCAGTTATATAAGTGGTGCTTGTGCCAAGAAGGTGTGATTAGTGTTGCGGCCTCAAATGAATACTCCAAGTTCTAGGAGTATGGGGGGGGGGGGAGGGGAGGAAATGTCCTTTCTGTTGTCATAAATTTTTATAAACCTCTGATATGAGTTTGGCCTAAGAAGGTCTCTCCAGGTTAGAAGCCAGGGGCTCAGTTCTGCATATGCTTTGTGATAAGTCTCTTGCGCTTCTCTGAACTCCTGCCAGCTCTCATTTCAAACCAAACTGCACATGCCCTACAATAAAAGGGATCTGGCAAACAGTTGATGATATGGATTAGGTCTCTTTAATCCACTTGACATCAGCCAATTGCAATGGCAGTTTCTTCACTGCCCTCTTTTGTTGAATAGCTTATTACAGGCCATCCATCTCACACATTCTCAGAGCACAGTAGAGGGCAATAAGGGATAAGATCTACTAAGCTTTTTGTGAGACTCATGCAACATAGTTTCAGCTTATAAGCAACAGTTACAGAGTAACAAAGAATAACTTGCTTGTTTTATTTTCCAGAGGTGCAAAATAAAATACAGTGGTACCTCGGTTTACGAACTTAATCCGTTCTAGAAGTCCGTTCTTAAACCGAAACCTTCTTAAACCAAGGCCCTCTTTCCCTAATGAGGCCTCCTGCCTCCAGTACTCTTCCACCATTCGGCTCCCGTTCTGAGGTAAAGTGTCCAAACCAGGACACTACTTCTGGTTTTGCAGAGTTCGTAAACCGAATCGTTCGTAAACAGGGCTGTTCTTAAACGAGGTACCACTGTAAAGTGGGGTCTGTGTGTGTTTCATTTTAAGGGGGGGGGTAAGTCCTGCTAGATCAGCCCACAGTTCCATCTAATTCAACATTGTTTCCCCACATGTGGTAACTACATTCTTCTGGCAACAGCAGCAGGATATGAAATCAGCATCCTTCACTGTTTCTTCTCTGCAACTGACATCCACTGATACTGAACACTTAGGTTCCATTTAGACCTCATGGCTAATAGCCATTGAAGGAACTAGCCTCTGGGAATTGGTCCAATCCCCTGTGGATGCATACTAAACCCATGCCCATTGCGACACCTTTTGGCAGAGAGTTCCATAAATCAAGTATGTTTTGTGCAATGAAGTCCCTTATCCTGAATCTTCTTCCAATGGATTTTAGTGGGTGACTGTTGTTCTTGAGACTGAAAGAACTCCTCTCTAGCCACATTCTCCAGACATGAATATATATTTTTAAACCTCTCTAGTCTGTTCCATCGGTCTCAGGAAATGAGAGGCCTTTGGATTCTGGGCATCCTTTTCCAGGACAGCACTTACATACAGCTTGTTAATGGTCATTAGAGTTAGGACATCCATCACAGAGCTATAATTCCCAGCACTCTTAATAAACTACAGTTCCCAGGATTCTTGGGGGGGGCACCATGACTGATCATGTGGTATAAGACATCTTTAAATGCATTTGTGTGGATGTGACTGAAAAAGTCCCCCAAAGTGACCTTAAAAGTCCCTTTTGTTTCATACTATTCTTTGTACCTTTCATGTCTTGGAGTTTTTTTTTTCTCCCCCCCCCTTTTGCTCATACAAGGAGAATGAGTCCTTTAGAAAAGGACAAAATCAAGGCTATTTTTTGAGATGGCATCCTATTATTATTGTTTCTCTACAATCAAAGATGAGGGGGTAGGGGAAAACAAAGGGAAAATGAAACTAAAGAGAGATTACATAGAATGTTCAAAGGTATTTTTATACAAATCCCCCTCCTTGCATCTTTGGGGGGGGGAATTCTCACTGAAGAGGCCAAATATTTTACCTTTGCTTTATGGCCTGAACTCAGTGCATAAATTTAAAGTGTGAAAGCTGATTGATCATAGAATGTGGGGATATTTTGTTTTGTTTGGGTTTTTCTTTTCTACCCGAGTCCGATTTATTGCCCTTTCATATAGCGTTTTTGGGCTATACATTATTGCTAACAACTTTGCTTGCTCGGATTACTATTAATAAATGATACTGTCTGAAGGTTGAAAGCTCTTCAATGCCAGAAAATAAAGCAAAAAGAGAGAGTGGATCCTGCTGCTTTCTGCTTTCCAATAAATTCAGGAAACCAAATGGCTCTTTTTGGCTTGAGTTTATATTGCCTGTGATTAACATCTTCGCGGGGCATTCAGACATTAAGAAGTGGTGCTTTTTTTAGTTGTTACTTTTGTTATTTTAGAAACCCATTTATAAAAATTGCCTCTGGAAGTGTCAACAGCAAAAATATGTGGCTTAGAATTCCATTTATTTGGGGGGGGGGGGAATAAGCCAAGTAGTCATTGAAGGAACTGTGCATGGGGCTTCTGTTTGGAAGGGTGATGGAGGCAATCGCTTGACGTATGGAATGTCATGATAATAAAAATAACTGAAGGACACTTCAAGTAATAGATAGGGTGGGGATGGGGTGAATTCCACCTACCATACAAGCTTAATTAAGAGTAGACCCATTGAAATGAATGAGCAAGCCTAAATTAAGTAAATTAATTTCAATGGGTCTACTGTGGGTGGTGCTGTGGTCTAAACCACAGAGCCTAGGGCTTGCCAATCAAAAGGTCGGCGGTTTGAATCCCCGCGATGGGGTGAGCTCCCGTTGTTCGGTCCCAGCTCCTGTCCACCTAGCAGTTTGAAAGCACGTCAAGAGCAAGTAGATAAATAGGTACCGCTCCGGCGGGAAGGTAAACGGCATTTCCGTGCGCTGCTCTGGTTCACCAGAAGTGGCTTAGTCATGCTGGCCACATGACCTGGAAGCTGTCTATGGACAAACACCGGCTCCCTCAGCCTATGGAGTGAGATGAGCGCCGCAACCCCAGATTTGTCTGCGACTGGACCTAATGGTCAGGGGTACCTATACCTTTACTGTGAGGGAAACTCAGCTGAATACCACTCTTTGCCAGTTGACAACTGGAAGAGGGTGGAAAGTAGATGAGATTAACTGGGTGGGAATGTCTTGAGATTGCTAGAGTCCTCTTCATAAATTGAGTGGACAGGCGGAGTCCCCCCAACTCCAGGCGACCCCTGAGCAGAATAATGACTCAAGATAATGTGCTATGGGATTAAAATTGGCCACAACTTTATTAAATTTCAGGTGTAGGGAGACCTTGGCTCAGGCATTGGGCATTTATCCTTCCCAGTCCCCAGCCGGGAATCTGGGAGACATCAGGGTTATCCAGAATGTGTGGGGATTGAGCTAGCTCTGGAGAACATATGTTCAAGCAGAGAGCCCGCCCCCTGTTTTGCCACCGTTGGAGGGGAGAGCAATGACTACCTCTCGGCATATGGCCAATGCCTCCTCTCAAGACCCCTTTAACAGGGAACCCTGAGATCACCGCTGCAAGGGGGGCATGGGTCACCGCTTCACACCCCCCCCCATATAGGAAGATGCCCAAAGCCTGAAACTGCCAAAGTTGTTTCATTTTGCTAAGGGAAAGGCAAAACCTGCCAATGCAGGAAAATTCCTTTCTGGCCCTTCAACAGTGACCCTGATGTAGCAGCGCCTGCGTACCTGTGGAAAAGAAGTTAACCTGCAAAAGAAGACTTAACTGAGGGAGGGCAGAGTGGGAGAAGCTCTGGAGCCAACTGATGCTTCACAGGTAAGATTCACCTTCTGTTGTGCGGGCAAGGCGGTCCCTCCCCTTACCTGGCAATGCCTCCCCAGGTGGGATTGGGCAATTGGCTGAGGTAGGCAGAGACCTCCAGGTATCCAGCCTGGGGAGGATGAAGCCAGCCCGAGCTACCAGGAGCCACACTGGGATCCAGGGGGCTGCACGCAACCATGCAAAAGGCGCCCCCCATTTGATGTGGGGAATGGTCATTATGCTCAAATATTCAGTCAATGTATGTGTGGTGCTGTGCTTCCTAGCTGCATTTCCTGCCATGTACATATTCAGTCTGCAGCATATATGAAGCCTTTTCATATATGCATGAAGACTTCCATCCTACAGATGTTTATGGTGTACAGGTACACGCTAGTAGGCAAAGCTATTGGGTGTGGACCTGTTCATGCTTTAATTAAATGTGTAGACATAATGCTTGTAGAGGGCTTACTTCGAATCACATTCATCACAGCCTTCAGTTTGCTGTGAATTTGTATTCATTGCTGCTCAGAGAAACACTGTGTGCCTGTTAAACCTGATAATTGTCAGTGAAACCCACACGTCAAGGGTTGAAACACCTGTCTTGATACCTACTTCTATAGAGTGCTGTTAACACATTAAGACTTGTGACTGCTAGTTATGGTGTTTACTCCTAGGACAAAGTTTTGGTTCTTGGTCGTACTACACACAGTTCAAAGTAGCAGTATGGGCCTTTGAAGCCTTTCATGATTAAGTCCAGGGTAATTTAAGGATTCTCTACCATAGGGATTGCTAATTTCCTCAGATGTCTCATTCTGATTAGTGAGATTACACATAGGATTTGTGCCTATTAGCACAATCCTAACCATGTCTACTTAGAAGTAAGTTCTATCAGATCTAACTCCCACGTAAGTGGGGTTAAGCTTGAAGCCTAAGCCAACAGCCAACTGGCTTTCATTGTCCTCATGCTTAGGAACTTTGTCCATATGGAGTTTCAAAGCTTTTGTTTGTTTGTCTGTACAAAGTCAGCTCAGCAAGGCTCTGCCTTGACTCTATAAGTTTCCAATCAGTGTTCTGTTCTCTTTCCCAGACCACACAGTTAAATCTGGACAAAGCTGAATACACTATAATCTCTTTTGGAATGAGTTTCTGAAACCTTGTGGTCAACAAGCATCAATACACGGGTTTTGTTTTGCTTTTACCTTACACATCCTTGTTTAATACAGGAAGAGGGAGTGGGAATGTGTGCGTGTGTGCCTTTTGCATTTTAGATCAATAAGGTGATAATTGCAAAACTTGCTATCTCTGAAACATGAAACTGTTTTTCACAAGTAGCCAGTGGAGGTCACAGAATAAGAACTGGCATCGTGCTAAGAAAGGAGATTATCAAATGCCTTGACTTGGTGTTAGTTCAGATCCCAAGATACATGAGAGTTTTTATTCGCTTTCAATTCCTTTGTTGCATTGGGATTCCTGTGTATTGCTTAGCTTTAATTTCTGTCAAAGCCATTGCATCAACCCTGTTGACTGCTTGGTAAAATAGCTCCCTCCCCTTGTGCTCAGCTCTGTCACAGCATTCTGAAAAAGAAGGTTATCTGCTCTATTAAACCTTTGACTTCTTGTCTTTGAAAGAGAACGCTTTGCATTCTGTTATGTCAGGACTGTAATTAGATCTGTTAATTAAGCAAAGAATGAACTTTTTAGAAACTCTAAAATGCTCTGCATTTGTGATAAGTTTGCTTAGGTTGCTTCTGACCTCATTGTGCCATTTTGCCCCTGCTCGTTAATTGCTAAATTTTAATTAGGCAAGATGATGAATATGCTAGCCTTTGCAATAAATAAAAAAGGGGATTCCAGTTGTTAACATTTACAAACCAAATTACATGAAAGTTATCTGCAGGTTATAGTACATTAAAACTATTCAGCATGCTGTTTAAAGCCTAACCGTGAATTCAGGTTGCCTATTCTATTCAAGGGATAGCTACAGCTAGCATTTAAATGTATGGAAATACTATGAGCTATTATGTAACCTGACCATGGTTGATGACTGTCTTAAAAAGCATTTTTAAAACTAATTGTGTGAGGGATCCAGGCTTAATCTCCTGGGGCTGTTGGTTGGGAGAAGGACAGAAACAGGAGTTCAAGTCAGGAGATAAAAATCACAGGCCTGAATTCTTACTCATTGTCATATCCCATATAACAAGCCTATTAGATATGACCAAAAACTACTCTACTACGTTTTGGGACAACTAGAACTATTTCTTTCTGTTAGCTATCTACCTGTTACCAAAACCTATAAATAAAATGGAAAGAGAACATAGGAGAAGGTCTATAGAAAATGAAATAATCAGTGTATTATTATCACCATGACAAACCCCACTCCCCTCTGTGCATAGGGCATAGGAATGTTACCTGGCACAGCAGAGGGATATTACTTCCCAAGAAGAAAGCACCCCCAACACACTGCTATTTATTTATTTAGAAAAAAACATTTCTATATCACCGTCTAAAGCAGCAACTAAATACTTTTGTCTCTTTCATTTTTGTGTAATTAACCAATCTTTTCCAACTTCCTGGTGTGGCAAGTTCTTTGTTAGGTTTAAGGATTAAAGGTGTGCACACATTTTTTTAATGGATGCACAACCTGACTTTACACAAAAGGTGGCATTCCTTTCAAGAGTGTATGTTGGGTCTATAGACATGGCAGACAAACTGAGGGATCAGGTGTATACCTTGTAACGAGCACCACCTACACCAAGATTCTAATTATGTAAAAATCTGCACTCAGGTTGGACAAATCAGACCCATTCATGCAAAGACGTTAAAGGATTTCTTGCTGACTTAATTCAATCTAGGAATGCAGTCTTTCCTGAAACAGAGAGTATGGCATTGCATCAGTCCTCTTAATTGCATGTTCAGACCCGGAAATCTCAGCTTCCTCACCACGCACGTTGCTGCAACAGCTGCGACCAAAGTATCTTGAGTCCAGGAAGAGCTGCCTTCAACTCTTCCAAGTCCTCCTGTGTGTGGGTCCGCAGCCACAAGCTGTGAGCCTCCGGCAAATCATTCTGGCCCAGCTGCACCACCATTGCTGCAGGCGCACGTTCCGCAGACACCTTCACCCGCACCATTGGGAGAAGCTCCTCCCAACGCATTCCTCGTCTGGATATCCAGAAAACGCACACGTGGTTGGAAAGCCCAAGCCTGCGTCAAAATCCAGACTCTACTGCCCTCTTGCTGGCCCAGTGGACAATGCTGTGCCCTACTCTCCAGACATGCAGGGTAGGCAGACCTAGGAATGAACAAAACAACTTTAGCACCTGCACCTCAATGCCGCTTCTGAACATAACCTCGGTATGCTCCAGATCTCCAGTGGCCCAGATCCTTAATCCTGTCAACGGACAGGTCCCAATGTGCAGCGGTTGTAGCTGCCCCAATACAGAAGGAATGAGGTGCAAATTCGCTGGCTGACAGGCTGCACGCTGCCAGCGCCTTGTGCATTACTGCAGAAAACAGGGACCCATCCTCGTGAACCAGGAAGGGACCATCCCCAGGCAGGCGAAGGGACAAATTTTTGGGGGGCATCCTTTACTGGACACAGGGCAAGCTCACCAGTGGCAGGCAGCCGCATCAAGGCACCTCTGCCCAACTGGTCCATTTTGGAATTGTGAGTGGTTAGGACCAACTCAGCATCTGACAGCTGAACATCCTGCAAAAGCAATCCCCTGGAAGTCCTTCCCTACACTGACTCCACCACCACTTCGTCCACACGCAGTGCACCGAAAAATGCAATTGAAAGTGCTGCCTCAAAATTAGACCAACAAATTGATCTCAGGGTGCTGCGCATAGTGCACAAAATGTCAAATGTGACCGGCCTCCTACCTGGTGACTTAGGAGGCTGTAATCTGACCCAGCCTTCAAGAGCCTTGTGCACTACAAATTTTGCACAAGGGTCTCTAGAATAAAGGGACTTACAGAAAAAGAAAATGGCAGATGACTGAATTCAAATGGACTTTACAGCACGACCCATGAAATGCAGTTGAGCTAAATACTACAACACCTGCTGTGTGGATGGTGACTCTGAGCTAAGGCTGGTCGTGAGCTGTGCTCTAAAGGCTAAAAAGTCCATCCAGGCCTTCTTATAAGACTTCAAAGTGGAGGGAGAAACAGATGCTATTATGCCTTGCATGACTATCTGTTGCAAAGGTTCCAAAGTTGCTCCGGTAAATATTCCAGAAGCTGCTGGGCCTCCGGAGCCAGGAATCTGACGCACTCCATCTGAAAATGGGATAAGGCATCCACAATGTCATTATTAGCACTAGGAATAAAACGGGCAGAAAATACAATGTTAAACCTGAGGCATCACAGTACAAAGAAGGTCCTCTCCTCAAGAACTGCGCTGCTGGAAGCCCTGAACTCCCAGAACCTGGGGGTGCCGACTGTGAATGTGGCAGTCCAGACCGAAAGGCCTGCTGCACCATGGAACCCATACTCCTAGGGCTAGCTGGGACTGGAATCCTGGAAAAATGCATTTGGGAAAACAAAGCCCCAGAGGAATCAAAAGCCTCACTCCCTTCACTTGCATCAGAAGGACCCTGAGCCTCATAATCAGTAGAAGAAGAGGAGGGGCCAGGCGGGGATCAGGCTGCCTCCCAAACTGCTGAGCCAATGACTCAAGCTCCACATTAAATCTTGTCAAGGCCAAAAGGTCCGTGTCAATATTGATCATGATAGACCCCAGACGATCCAATGTTTTCTGAGGAACTGCTGGGGCTTGCACTGAATGCAGCGACTGAGACGGGCCTCTAATTACCCCTTTTGAAGGGAGGGCAGGGCTAAGATTCCTTTTAACAGGCATCTCTATAAGGTCTCCCAATATTCAGTAAAATTAAAATTAACTGTTAATCCTTAAGATGGTGCTCCCGCCAAAACAAAATGGTGCTCCCACCAACACAGGCCCTGCCACCAAGACAAGATGCCAGTATGGTGTAGTGGTTAAGAGCGGTAGTCACGTAATCTGGGAAACCGGGTTCGCGTCTCCACTCCTCCACATGCAGCTGCTGGGTGACCTTGGGCCAGTCACAATTCTCTGAAGTCTCTCAGCCCCGCTCACCTCACAGAGTGTTTGTTGTGGGGGAGGAAGGGAAAGGAGAATGTTAGCCGCTTTGAGACTCCTTAAAGGGAGTGAAAGGCGGGATATCAAATCCAAACTCTTCTTCTTCTTCTTCTCCTGCCAAAATAAGCAGGGCAAAATGGCTGCCGGCTCCAAAAATTCCCCAACCATCCTTAAGCAAATTGGGAGCGGGTGAAGTATTTACCAAGCTTACGGAGAGGGAACTCTCACAAGCCAAATTAGCGGACCAAACAATCACTATAACTCAAATTCCTTTGCTCCAGCTATTCAAGGCTCTATAAAATAAATGTGTGGCTAACACGGCTCAGAATTACTGCTCCCTGAACCCAGGGAAATGGAGGCAACCCTGGAGACAAAAGCGCTAAAGCCAAGCCCTGCGGGCAAAAAGACACCGAAAACAATAAATTGGGGCCGCTGAGCAGAAGTTTTTCAAGCTGCAGCAACGCTGCACCGTGAACCCCTGGATAAACCAGCTTGTGAGCTCAAGTCCTTTAAGGGAATAGTGATCGCTACATGAAGCCACAAATTTAGAATCAGGATCCATGGCAATCCCCAGCAAAAGGGAGAGCTCTGGGGGAACCCCAAGGACAAACGCCCTATAGGAAAGAAATTAGCGAATGAAAAGACTCCGAAGTGGAGCGCTAAGCGGCTGCAAGCCCCATGGGGCAGAAGCCCCTCTAAATCAGGGAAGATCAAGGATGGGGAGTATTAAAAACAAACTTAAAAATTAAAAACTAGGGAAAGGAAGAGGGTAAAAGGAATTAAAAAGAAGAAGGGATAACGGAAAGATATCACCAGGACGATCCGTCGAAGGTAAATCTTTCTCTCTCTCTTGGCTTGCAGAGGACATGCTGTGGTGTTCCGAATGCACGCGCTGAAAGAGGAAGCTCTGAGTCACATGCATGGGCATAATAGGTCCCTCAAACCGTTTGCGTCCCATTGGTCAGATTGTACCCAGCTTCGAGGGACCTACCAATCGGGTGTTGTGGCTTACCAGATGTTCCCACCCACAACACAGGGTGTCGGTTGTCCAGTATGTGCCCTCTTTAAGGAAGGACCCGATTAGTGGTCTCCACCAGAGCTGTATTAGCAAATTGGAAGCTCGGAATCATGGGCAAAGAGAATCTTTCCCCTTAAACTAAGAACAGCAGTGGGCCTTTAGGGAGCTGTAATAGAATGTTATTTTACAAAAAGTAAATAATGTAATAGTCTATTCGAATGTCAGCAGCAGAGTTAGAACTGTCATATCATAATCCTGACTTGAGCAACAATGTGTGAAAGAGTAGCCTGGAGCAATTTTTTTCCTCTAGTACTTGAATAATTTCTGCTTGCTGTATCCCCCTGATCTTTATTTAATATCTGTACATTGTCAAAGGAATGTTTTACCTCCATGTTAAAATGCAAGTTAAAAATAGGAGACCATAGTCCCAGAAAACCCCAAATTTCTAGTATTTACAGCTCTTCTTTCTATCCTGAGTTATGGTGGCCAATAGAGAAAATTGTATGCTGCTCACAGAGACAAATGCAAGCTGTAATAAACCTATAAATAAAAAGCACTTTCTGACAACTTCCTCTCTCCCCAATATAACAGCAACACTCTTCTCTCTCCCCCACCCCACCCTCTTATACCCACCTTTTTTATTTATTCTCTCAGTCTAATGAATAATTCAATAAATTGGTTGGGTTACGCCTCACGTGCTTTGTGAGGAAGTGGCAGCTGTTTCCAAGGAGTTCTCAAACAGAAACTCAGGAGGGTCATGAAACAGCACGACTCTGAATATGCGTCTTTGTTATGAGTGAGCCAAAGCAGAGAGTTCAGCTTTCCGACACGGCAAATTGCTATTTATTAAGCAGGAGTTTGTCAAGAATTTGAAAGCAAACTTGGCATGCATACCTGTCTTTCAAGGCTTCTTCTAACTCACTTAGAGCTGGTTTATTAAATGTTGCGGCACTGCATCACCACCTCCAGGCATAGCTCCAGTTTTTTGTTTTTTGTTTAATTGTGTGTGTAGGAATTCTTGGGCAAGTTTCCCGTAGGAGGTTCCCATGCACATCTTCTCTCTAATTAGTATAGGGATGGAGTACTGCAGACCCGGGCACCAAATGAGACCATCCAGGCCTCTCTATCTGACCCATAGGAGCCAACTCCTAGGGAACAAGGTCCCTTCACACACACCCTTACAATATTGTTGCTGGTTTGAGGGGTTGGACAGGAAAGAATTAGAGCAGGGCAAATCACCAGGTGCATATGTCTCATGGAAGTTATAGAAAATGGTCTGCAAGGCACTGGGAGTGAGATTCCAGTAGTGGTGGGGTAATGGATGTGACTCATTATTGCACAGTAGTCTACATTCCAACTACAGAAAAGTCAGATGGTTCTCTCTGCATATATTTCTCCAGCATGACAAGCAAGAGGCATCATTACAGTTCAAGGACACATTCCAACCATGCAAAAGTACTGGAGAGGGTGTTGATCAGGGCCTGTGAAAGGTACGGCCATGGGAGAATCCCAAGGGGCAGATAGAGAGGCCTGGACAGCCACATTTCATTTCCCTTTGACCTCACTGTTAAGCTACCCGCCCAGCCCTAAGAAATACAGCTGTGACTCAGAATAACTCTTCATTCATCTGATGAACTGAGTGCTAGTCAACAAAAGCTGACACTGTAATAAAATCTATTAAAATTTAAGGCAGCACAAGATGCTTTGTTGTTTTTCTGCAACAGACACACAGAAATTGTTCTGAAAATTGTTACAATGGATTGGAATGCAACTTGATGGAAATGTAATGACTTGATGGTATGGATGAATCTGTCTATTGTAACTGCTCATCCTGTTTGAATGTGTGCATTCATAAATCTATCTCACCTGATTTCCAGATTAATTAGCAATTTTTAAAATTACAGGAAAATTAGCATCTACATACTATTTTAAATGTATTTTAAAGCACCTTTCTTTCACACATTTCAGACTTATTTTGATACATTTTTGAACAAAGAATTACGTATGTTGCTATGTTCAGGAAATACAGAAGCCAGTTGATTGCTAAGTTTCCATCCGCAGCTCAACTGAAAAAAACTTTGTCATATGTATCAGAAATCTCAAAGATCCATGTCATTCAACATTGCTGGTTGGTATTCATGGAAGGTGCGTCCCCCCCCTTTTCTTTCTTTCTCTCTCTCTCTCTCTCTCTCTCTGTCTCTCTTTCTTTCTTTCTCCTCTTGGAGCTATTTCAATGATGAACTATAGGTGGCATTCTTAACTCACCAGAGTGCCTACAGGAGAATATAAAGGAAAATGTTCACTGTAACGTTTGCAAAAATAAATAAAATGAACCAACCCCTCCTTGGTCAAAGAACTAACTGCAATAGACGTAAAGATCAGAAAACATACGCTAGAGAGAAAACTGGCCAGACATCTTGTGGATTAAGTTTGACTGTATTTCAGCTGAATCCAGTTACCTGAAATATGTTGACAAAGTCCTGGATCTCAACCACACTGTAGTATAGGATTCCTCTGCCAGATCTCTTTCTCCTGAATTGAACAATGCTGACAGCAACATAGATATCATTTCCCTCTGGGTTATGGATAAGCTGTCAGAGAAGAAGATAATATTTTCTATAAAATAAACAGAGAAGACATTTGCAAATGCTTGACTTGTGATGGGGAGTAGCAACTTGTCTCCAGTATTCCTAGAAGAAGCATGGGAAACTTTACTCCAGCCCTAAAAAGTATGGGCAAAGGCCAGGGATGATGGGAATTGTAGTTTAGCAACCTTTGGAGAGCCAAAGTTTCCCCAGACTTATACTATATCCTTTCTTAATATTATATCCCTTGTTGAGGGTCACCTGCCAAGGGCTGTCCTGTTCATGAAAATCAGTAATTGATTTGGATCAGACCAAAGCAAAACCTTCTTCACATAATGCTGCTTCTGCTTTAGCAGCTTCCATTTTTTCCTGGTTCCAGGAGAAAGTGATGCAAGAGAGGGTGGGGAAGTACCTGGACCTTCCTTCACTTCCCTCACCTGCCTCTGCCTTCTCTTCCTTCCTTCCAGCTCTGAAGATTCCCCTGCCTCCTATTCTTGCCTCCTGGCTGTTACAGATTCCCCACGGACCACTGCTCATTTCTCCCAAGTCAGACTGCAGCCCCTCTTCCTCCGGTGCACACTCATCAGTGTCCTGCCACTCCCTGACAATGGGGCAGCTGTATTTAGCAGTTCCTGTCTAACACCAGGATGCAGTGAAGGTTCTAAGCCGAAATCCTTACTGATACTGAACCTTGTATCAGTACTGTAGATAATGATCTATAGAAGAGAGAAAGATGGGATGTGAGCATGATTGTGTGTATCAGTCATGGAGAGGAGACATATGAGCCCTCAGAAGCAGGATCCACCCCCCAACTCCTCCCCTGCCCCCTTACCAGTGCCACCACCACCAATGAGAAAACGGGGAGAAAAAGGAGATCCAAAAGGAGGCTGATGGGGGGGGGGGAGTCATTGCTTCCAGACGTGACAGCAAACAGCAGCAGCATGGAGGAGAAGGTGGTGGCTGAGAATGTAAATGGGAAGTAATTTGCTCCTTATGGGCCCGGATCTACTGCCCCATCGAATGTTCCAAAGCTCTGAGGCAGTTGCTTCACCTTGCCTCATGGGTGGGCAGGCTCTGATTGTGACTCATATGCATGCTTTCTCTATGACAGATGTGGCATAGACATAAACTACCTGGGAGGCATTCTAATAAAATTTTATGTTGCAGAAGCTTACTGTAACAATGCAGTAGACAGCAGATCTAATTGTTGGTTAATCAGGGGTTTTCTGATAGATTGAGGAACTAGCTGAGAACCGCAGCTCTCTCTTACCTAAAATTTCAAGTGAAACTCAGTGCATTTTGTGATGCCATCACGTCATATGAAAATCCGATCCCCATCGCCAGGAGCCAATGTGTTGGTGTCGTGGCTGTCGAATCTCAGAACGGGATGATATCACATCACATTGAGAATATCATTATTCAATAGGTATCAAAGGGACAACCAGATGTGAGACAGCCATTATTGGCAGTAGTGCCATGTCTGTTATATTATCTAGTCACACCCTGAAGGAGGTGGGGAACATTGCTGAAATGTTCAAACTTCAGGTTTTGGAGGCCCATGAGCACAAAACCAACAATGGGCTTCTCTTTCAGCAGGCCCACTTCCTCTTCAGTGCTCTCTCTGCTTCCTGCTTCCTTCTCTTTGGGGTGAAGGGAGGCTCCTCCTCCAAGGAAATGGTGTGATTTATTCTGAGTCACACCACTGGTTCATCTAGCTTAGTATTGTCTGAACCGACAACAACTTCCCTCTGTGGTTTGGGGCAGAGAATAATTATCTAGAGCTACCTGGAGATGCCAGGGATTCAGCTGGAGAATGTCTGCATGCAAAACAGAAGCTCTACCACTGAGCCATGGCTCTCTCTCACTGGCTCAGAGGTGACAGGTGAACAGGCAGTGGTAGGTGATGATGATTTATTAAATGTATTGGTCATTTTCTGTAAAGAGGTAACCAAAGTACCATATTTTTTGCTCTATAAGACTCACTTTTTCCTTCCTAAAAAGTAAGGGGAAATGTGTGTGCATCTTATGGAGTGAATGCAGGCTGTGCAGCTATCCCAGAAGCCAGAACAGCAAGAAGGATCGCTGCTTTCACTGCGCGGTGATCCCTCTTGCTGTTCTGGCTTCTGAGATTCATAATATTTTTTTCCTTGTTTTCTTCCTCCAAAAACTAGGTGCATCTTGTGGTCTGGTGCGTCTTATAGAGCGAAAAATACGGTAACCTACAGTATATATACAAACCAAAACATCAAATAAAATCCCATCATCACACCAGACGTTTGAAGCAGAACAGATCCATGCCTAAATGCCATGCCAACCCCACTAACTTTACTAAATTGTGGCCTGTTCTAATTCACACATATTTGGTCATATTGTTCCCTGACTCTTGTCTCTGGAGCAGCCTAATGCACTTGTACCACTGTGCTTATTGGTTGCCTGGAGGAGCATAGAGGGCGTGTGTGTAAAAACTACCCTACTTTATGAAGGTTAAGTGGACATTCATTGCCCCAACCCAGTTTTGTCTCTGGCCTTGCCCCCAGAGAGCTGAAAAGGGTTTCCTCTCATACCTTTAGATTGCATGATTAATATTAGCATATATATATATATATTTAAAAATGGAGATTGATTATTCATATCCATGAAGAAGGGGAGCTTCTTTTTGGAATGGACTAAAAGGACTTGGCAGCTTGTGGTTTGGGAGACTGCAAGAACTAAGAGCTAATGAAATTCAATACATTATGACCGCTTTTGGATATAACTGTGCCTATATTGTACAGATTGGCTGACGCACGTGGATCTGTATACATGTAGGAGATTGTAATGTATGATACATGTTTGGTATTTTGCAAGCCATAATATTAAACTTGCAGTTTCCCCCTTTTGATAAGATGAAAACCAGCCATCTATATATCCTGTTAGCACAATAATGAGCTGCTTTTGTGTTTCAGGTTTTTAGGGACACTAGAGGTCTCTCCAATCCTGTATACACTGTTACTATTTGAATGCCATTTCTCTCTTCCTAATGTTTGCTGTCATTTCAGTATTCATTTTGGATTCTCATTTCAGTTTACCTTTTTGACAATTTGCCTAGGATAACCTAATGTTAGTGACTAACACCCACCTATTAAATTAATCGCTTAATGGGCCAATTAACTCCAAATATTGCTCCCTCTCAGAATATATCTGAGCTTATTTTTCTCTTCTGCATAAGATCGTCATGCAAAGCAAATAGCAGTTAGACTTCGTGAAGACTCTTTTTCGTCTGAGCAACATTTTATTTTAACCAAATAATCCCGAGATTACCTAAACAGTAACACGTACATCTTCAGGTCTTGGAGTAAGTAAATCACTTTTTGCCATTTTATGCTGCTTGTCCACTTAGTTCATATTAGCTAGCAAATATATGTATTTCTCTCTCTCTCTCTCTCTCTCTCTCTCTCTCTCTCTCTCATTGCTTAATTCATGTTTTTGGCATTCTGTTTCATATACAATTAATGACACAGACATTTGCATTCCATGCTTTCCTTGATGACTTCATTTACAAGGTATTATCAGCCACCTTGTTCCTTATTGTATTTATTTTCTTATTTATAGCTGGCTGGGCTAATAAGTTTTTGTCAAGGCTGTTTTTCGCTCACTAGACACATTAGGAAGACCGTTCTCACTCAATTGTTTGACACTTAATATTTTGCAAACAAGAAATAGCAAGACAAATAGAAAGAACAAGGGTTGTGGTTGCGGAGGGGTGTTATCATCTGATTGTAGGGGAGTTTTTAATGGTTGAAACTAGACCTATTTGGAACCTCTTAATAGAAAAGTGGGAAACATCTGGTCTGGGCCCAAATGTGCTCCCCCAGGCTACTCTGGCATTTCAGGACAATCCCTAAGTGCCCCCCTCACTGGTTCTGCTTGCATGTTTTTGCCTGGCTGGGATATATCCTTGAACTCTGATAATGCCCCTTACTTGCCTGGATGGCAGATAGAGGGGGGGGTGTAGCTTGCCATACAAAAGTAAAATGTGCTTTTTTGCCTCTGCCCTGCCTGCACTGAAGGTGAAGCTATACTGCTCCATCTCTTTCTACCCTTCATTGAGGTAGCTCATCATAACTGTTTATGAAACAGCAAAGCCCAAAAATGTACCACCACACAGACTTGGAGATTCCTAGCTTGCTTCTTTACCCCTCCTGACTACGGTGGCCAGAGAGTCCACAACAGAATCTTTTCCATTGCTTGCCTTCCTGTGGTAAGAATGGAGATTTCCTGAGAGAAAGGGTCTCTTGCATTGGTGTGTGCCAAATTACTCAACAAGATTGGCTGGAAGTTTCTGCCTGTACAAACACCCTTAGATGCCATAAATATACACATAGCTGAGCATGTTACACAAATCTAGCCCCTAAATATAGGGTTTGGTCCAGATCCATTGGAATCAATGGGATTTTGTTGTTGTTTAGTCGTTTAGTCATGTCCAACTCTTCGTGACCCCATGGACCAAAGCATGCCAGGCACTTCTGTCTTCCACTGCCTCCCGCAGTTTGGTCAAAAAAATGCTGGTAGCTTCGAGAACACTATCCAACCATCTCGTCCTCTGTCGTCCCCTTCTCCTTGTGCCCTCCATCTTTCCCAACATCAGGGGCTTTTCCAGGGAGTCTTCTCTTCTCATGAGGTGGCCAGAGTATTGGAGCCTCAGCTTCATGATCTGTCCTTCCAGTCAATGGGACTAGTTAATAATTATTTTTCCTTAAAGCCCCCTTAAGTTCAATAGGAACCAAGTTCCACTGGCTTTATCTGGATCCGACTAATTGTGGATACTCTCAAAGAATCTTAGGAACTGTAGTTTAAGAGTGCTGGGAATTATAGACATGTGATGGGCAAGCTACAGTCCCAGGATACTTTGGAGGAAGTAATGACTTTTAAAGTGCAATAAATGTGTATTAAGTGTTTGGTGTGGGTGTGACCTAGGGCCACAATCCAATTGTTAAACACATTTAATAACACACATTTATTTTAAAGGACTTTAGCATGTTTAACCCTGTGGTGGTCTGTGGCCTAGCAAGGTCTGGTAAGAAGATGGTCTGTGACCTGCCACAATCAACTTTCATAGTTGTTGTGTGCCCCCTACCAGTAAATTGCAAGTCTGATGACATAAGCATGCTTTTATTCTATTTTCCGATCTCTCTCCATTCTCCCAAACACAAATGTTTTATCTATTTCTTGTGTCAGATGAACACAAGATACATAATTCTTCCAGCTGCCGTCCTGCCTCCATCTCAGTTCATGTCCCCTCCTCCCTTATATGTAAAAATGGCCATTTATAGATCAAGCGCTCATTTGCGGCTGTTCTCTGTCCCCAGTGTGGAATCTGATTGCTGAAAACATGGCTGAAGGAGCTGAGCTACTGTAAATATGAAAACATTACAAATGAGGGTGATTGAAAAGCAGACCCCAAGTGTGATTCCCTCCCTGAACTCTCACTCCACTTCAAAAAATAGGCAGCATACTGTGCTGCCTCCTTTATTATGTCCTACACTTTATAATCTTTGGTGATGCTTGCTTCACATTTTAAATAGCTGTTTTAAAATGGGGGCAAAACAGAGGAAGGATAAATTGTAAAACTCCCCTGCAAGAGTAATGAATGCATTTAAAATTAAGCTACACATTTCTATACATCCATGACCTTTAAAACCTGTTAGGAAGGGTAGGAATTAGGATTTATACCTTGCAGGGTGATTGATGGTCTTTTCTTGTTAGTGTATGTGTTTTAAAGAAACTAAAGTAACAGCCACAGTCTGGATATCTATAATCCTCTTTAACAGCACTTGCTACGAAGGCACAACACATTGCTTTATGAAAAGAGTCAAGTTCTCCAATAGTGTGGTGGGTTTTCCCCCCTTTTCTTTTCTTTTAAGGAAACAAATCCAGGCTGCTAAGCTTAGCTGCTAGAGAGGTTTGGAATAACTGCATCAAAATTTGCAAGAAATGTTGATGCCCACTAACCTCTTTGCCAGCAGACGTGTCAATAAGGGTTGCCTCCCCCACCCCCCTTTTTACAAGGAAATGTCAGGATGACAGCAGAATGAAATAGAACTAGCTTTGCAGGTCTAGTGTCTCCCTCCCCTCCCCGCTTCCCACAGGCTGCTCTCAAAGATGTCAGCTTTCTGCATTTCTGCATTTCAGCAAAAAAAAAAAAAAAAAGGGTATCGGCATAATTACAGTGAGTTAAGCTCTGTCTCCAAGAGTTCCACAACCTGCTGATAACAGAAATGTTTTAGGGTGTCCCTGCTTTAGTCCATACAACTCTCTATGTATATACAGAAGGATCTTGTATTTGAACCTGGAGATAAAGGAGCTGGCCCAGAACTTGTTTTGTGGGGCTCATGTATAGAAATTGATGCTCGTATGAATGATCTATATGTGTGAACAGTATAAAGTTGGAGAAAGTGGCTGATGGAAGATCATGATCCCCTCTTGTATACTTGACTAAATCACAAGATCAACCTTGTTTAAATGTAGAAGTCTAATCTTCTGTGAGAGCTTTCCTTTGCTATATACTGCTTATGTGTTTTGGGGTGCTGGCAGGCAGGCAGGAGAATTGCATTGTCTGAAGTTATATGAGTCTCCACAAAGCCAACACATTGCTCATGTACATAATTTTCTCTCTCTCACTGGCTGTATTTGCAAAAATGATGAAGGGAGCAGAACCAATTTCTCTTCTCCCCAAGTCCAATGGGTTTTGTACATCTTTACTGAAGTGGAACATCCCCACTGCTATGAATATAACTAATATTGGATAAGTTAATCATGGTGTGTTGATTCCAACACAGTTCAAATAAATAAATAAACTAGTTGTGGCAATATTACTGATTTCTCAAACTAGAACAACCAACCACCTCCCCCCCCAAAAAAAACCCCAGCTGATACAAATTTTCTTTTTCTTGTGAGCAGCCAATTTTTTATTGTTGTTGCCACATGGAAAAAAAAGACCAAGAGCAAACTCTAATTAAATTGGAACCATTTTCTGGCTTTCACCGGAGTACGTTATAAGAATCCATTGCTTTAGCTTCAAATTGTCAACCAGTTCTTTAGCATTAGTTTTTCCATCGCAATGATCCTGCTATGTTGCTTTCCTTTTGTTCACTGTAGCTGTAACAAAATTAACAACGGGCAAGGCAAAATGCTGTGATGAATGTGACCTTGTTTTTCTTGGCTGAACAACCCGGCAGCTTGGACATCCGTACCAATATGCTCTGTGCAACACTCAGCTCACAGGAGATGGTAGGTGTGTTCTAGACCCCTGGTTTTCAACAGAACCCCAAAATGGATCTAAGGTGCGTTGTGTCTATGGTACTAAATTATGTAGGAAAGAGTGAATCTGTGAATTTTGGTTTCTCATTTTTCAAACTGAAATTCGGTTCTCTGATTTTTTTTTACATGACATTTTTTTAATTGCAATTTTAAAAATGAAAATTAATTGACATTTTAGTGCAAATTTCTCCTAATGCACACACATTTGTATGCAATTTTACCATGTACATATTTTTGCAAATCAGTTTCTTTTGCTGTGGGGCCTTTTCGTATGTTTTCACTAATGTATGCACAATTTCCTCTAGTAAATGCATTTGTGTACACATTACTTGGCTGGAGGACTACATTTCAGAATTAAGGGGAAAGTGTTACAGAAAATATATACCACTTTTCAAGCAGACTTCCCAAAGTGATTTGCATAAGATAATTACAAGAATAAGCACTGGGTCTTTTATTATTATTATTTTTAAAAGTAACAATAGAATGGGAAAGACAAATTGTTTGTGTAGAAAAAGCTGCTGCTGCTTCTCTGCTTCCCTCAGGGCAAGATGGTCCTTTAGATGCCCCTGTGTTGACAGTAAGGGGCCGCTATGGGAGCTGGTTGGTAATCCTTCCTCAAAGGATTTCAAAGCATGGCTATGTTTTGTTATTTGTTGCTTCAGAACATGTGAAAAAAGTATGTTTGCCTTTAAACACAAACTGAATCTAATTTCTCCTGCTTCCCTATGTGTGTGTGAGGTTTCTTAAAGCAAAAGTAGAAAAGAGGAGGTGATTAAAGAGAATGAGTCTAAGTTTGTACTGCACAATCTCTCGCTCTCTCTTGCTCTCTCTCTCTCTCTCTTTCAGCTCATTGCTCCTCCATAAGCCAATGAATTGTAGACTGATGAAGGTGCCAAGATTTCTCCATCCCCACATTCCAAAAGCTAGTACAATACTCCCCGCCTCCAAAAAAAGAGGTTTCCCAGGACTATTACAGTCTTCAGTAGTTCTCAACTACTGAAGGGTCCCCAGATGTTGTTGGACTACAACTCCCATCATCCCTGAGCTCTGGCCTTGCTAGCAAGGGGTGATGGGAGTTGTAGTCCAGCAATATCTGGGGACCCACAGGTTGAGAAAGGCTGCATTAGATAATCTTGTTGAAGCGGACCATGGGTCTATTTGATCCAGCATGCTGTTTGTCACACACTAGGAAGATATCGCAGGAATTGCCTTTACTTTCTTTTGCCTCGTTTCCACATCACTTGGCACTCAATGCAATGCTCCCTCTGAACATGGAAGTTCTTTCACTCAGCCAGCATGGTTAGTAGCTACACGTAGGCTTCCTCTACATCTGTAGACTTAATGTATAGAAGTGGTGAGCTATACCACACCACTGTCCTTTTTCATGGCTCCATCATTTTATTGCCACTGTACACACAAAGTCTGAGCATATACATCAAGATACATCAAGTACATAATAGGCTCTGTGCACATAGGCACAATGATTGTCTGGATCAAGGTGCAATTCTGCTCTTTCCACATGTTGTTGTAGCTATTATATTTGCATATCACCTAAACCCATAGATCTCAGGGAGGTTCAAAAAAAATAAAAGTACAATAAAATTGGAAGATCATGTGAAAAGGGCTATGAGGTCATGGGGAATGGTATGTCTTTCTTCCATGTAATTGTTTTCTTCTTGGGCGAAGACTGTAGCTCAGTGGTAGAGCATCTGCCTGCAAAAGGTCCCAGGTTCAATTCCTAGCATCTCCAGGTAGAGCTGAATCCTTGAAATCCTGCTATTTGTCAGTGTAGGAAATTTTGAGCTAGATAGACCAATGCTCTGATTCTATATAAGGCAGCTTCCTTTGTTCTTGGGGCAACTGAACACCCGCGGGTGACTCTTGCTTGAAAGTAGTCCACTTTTAGTCTTGGTGCCCAGAAATCAGTGTTGTAGAGCAAGAGCTGCTTAACACAGTCCTGCATAATTTTGTGTTCGATTTGTTTTAATGTTTGCAATTGTGGTAGCAGATGAAGTGCTTGGTGGCTTACTGCTGAACTGAAAACAAATGAGCACAAAAGTCCAGGAAGCATATAAAGTCAGAATTTTATAGGCACTGTGACAAATCTAGGAGAAACACTTTTAATTTACTTGATTTTGGGGACAGTTTAAGTTCTAAATGCAGCAGATGGAAATTTGTGGCTTTGAAAAAGAACAGGAGATAAAAACAGGGAACAATAAGGTGCTCTTTTTAAATCTGTCTTTTGAGGCCCATGAAATACTCTTCAAGGAAAATATCTTGAAATGGCCTGCTTAATCCTGTGCAGCCAACACAGGATCACATTTGCCTGCCATTGTTTTCGCCTTCTGTTTTTAAATTTCTGTCGATGAAGGGGAAACAGGATGCATTGATTCAAACCTTGCCCTGGATCATTTACCCGTAACCCTTGATATGCAGTTTATAGTTCCTTTTGCTCCAGATCATGTTGGAAAGCAACAATGATCTGGTTCAAACACACTTTATACCCAACATGATTTCCTGGCGTTAGTCGGGGCCCTGCTAAGCAAGAAACCATCAACTTCATTAAACATCAGAGCAGCCACCATGGTCAAAAATGGATGAGAGCAATAGACAAGTACACCTCCATGACACCACCATGGAGAAGGCCTTCCGTATGTTCCCTGCATGATGCATTGCGCTTACAGAAAGGATTCTATGAAGGGCCCTAAAGGCCAATCTCAGTTTCTGGGCAAGGCTATGTGGAGAGGTTCTCCTTTAGGTAACTAGATCCTAAGCAATTCAGGATCTTCTGTGTCATTGAACATAACCATTGGAAGAGCCGTTCCTTGAGGTACTGTGGTCCTGAGGTGTTCAAGACCTTTACAGATCAAAACCATCACTTTGAATTGGGCTGCCAGTGCCGTTGAGCCAGAATTGGCATTATATGCTCTAACCATCTTGCCCTAGTGAACAACCTGGCTGCTGAATTCTGCACCAGCTGAGGTTTCCCATCTGTATTCAAAAGCAGCCCCATGTATAATGTGTTGCAGTAGTCTAACCTAGAGGTTATCAGAAGTCAGACTGTCCCTATCCAGATAGGGTCACAGCTGGGTTACTAGCTGAAGCTTTTGCTTCTACTGGCCACGCTCCAGACTTTAAAAACTGTTTAAACCAGCTCTCGCACTGACAGATTGGCATAGTGTGCGCATATTGTTCTGGGAATATCAGTTGACCATCAGTGCCCATTAAAGTGATCACTTTAGCTAATAAGCTTTACAAGGATCTAAAGAGAAGGCCATCTCTTATCTTGATGCAACATCCAAAGAACAAAAAGCGCAACCCCATGCTTTGCAGACAAAATCATAAATCATAAAATCAAATAAAGTCACATAAATAGAATAGTCATCAATAATGTTGAAATGAAACCAGCAGCATCAGTAAAGAACAGCAGGATTAAAATGGAGCAATATTAGTCATTCCTCAAAGCCTGTTAGGTCTTGCGGATGCACATATGTTCTATTTCCTATATTAGTTTTATGTAGCCAGTTGCTTTCCTAGATTTTGTACTCATGTGAGCATTGGAAGATCAGTGTAGAATAAGAAAAAGAGAGGGGGGGAATGGAGGCCTTATCCACACTTACCTCTCATTTGCTCTTTCCAGGTGCAGGTCACGATTTAAAGCTCCATGTCGGAGAGCCCCCTTTTCCCCCTCCAGAGCTTTCCCTTCAAAAAACCACTCTTTAAAGCTCAATCAGAGCAAACATCAATCCGCAGAAAACTTGAATTGATGTTTGCTCTGATTCAGCTTTAAAGGGTGTGTTTTCTCAGGGAAAACTCAAGGAGAAACAACAACAGTTAAGGTGTGGCCTGGAGAGAGCGGGGCAAAAGGTAAGTGTGGATAAGCCCTGAGAGAACCCAAAACTAACAAATTTGCCCATCCCTATTGAGTGACTTCTTTTTTTAAAAAAATCAGCCTAATATGGAGGCACCTTTGGAGCTAGGCCAATATGTAGTCCTATGAGAAAGCAAGGAAGTAAGTATCGTACTTAAAGTGGTTTTAGCCAAGATGTCTCTCTACAAGGTTGAGCTATCAAATTGTGATGTGCCCACTGCCTAATTCCACCTTGAAACACAGCTTTTTAGCTCCATGGAAGCATGTAGAGTTTCTATTTACATGCAAATTGATGCTATTCATGTGTGAATTAAAGCAAGGACTGACTTAGTCAAATGGAATAATTAAGTAATGGTCACATCCTCTTCTGTTTAGGGGTGTACATCCTGCAGATTATAATTGCTACATCCCATTACATTACAAAATCAAATTAAAAGATAATTGAATTCCTTCCTTCTTTTCCTTCCTCCTTCCCTTCCTCCTTCCCTTCCTTTATTTCAATCTAAGAGTAACCAGAAAATGTGGAGGCAGTATGGAGGTCTCCTGAAGATAAGCTGGAAATGGAATAGTATGTAGCAGGCTGAGCTGATATTTAGGTTCGAAAGCCTTGAGATCCAGAGATAACATTCCATAGACACATAGTCTTTTGTTTATGGCAAAATAGTGTGCTATCTTTACCAGACTGCAATATTTGTAGGCAGTGAAACATTACCACATTCCATAGTTGTGTGCAACAGCAAAAAATAGAGTCCTGCCCACAAGTCAGCTCCTGAATGATGGCTTCTATTAGGAGACAGATAGGGGGACTTCGACTTTGTTGATTCTTGTTGATTTTTATAACCTCAGCCATGATATGGCTCTAATGGATGGGAGTTGGAAGGCATGGTAATATGATGATTCCGTTCCTACCTGCAGGTCTATTTCCAGAAACTAGTATATGGAACCACTGGGAAGTCATCAGAGGATCTGGAGTGAGGTGTCACTAATACATCAATGACCACTTTTAGACTGAAGGAGCAGAGCCAGTGTGATGTAGTGGTCAGTTTTGGAAGAGGGTCTGGAGACCAGGGTTCAAATCCCCACTTGGCCAGGAAGCTCACTGGCTGATCTTGAGCCAGTCATTGCCTCTCAGCCTAACCTATCTCATAGGGTGGTTGTGGGGATTAAATGAAGTGGAGGAGTACTGCATAAAAAGGTGAGATATAAATGCAACAAACAAACAAACATCAAAGGATGCCCTTCACCACCTGCCATCTTAGGTGGTTGCCTCACAGTGACTCTCCCTGTAGACATTCCATTTTTGTGTTCTGATGTTTGTATCCTAGTTTAGGGGAGGGGGGACCTTAACCAATTACCACTGCACAGTACTGTAAAATAAAAAAGAAAAGGCAGGATTTTACCCGTTTCTAATTCAGACCCACTATAAATACAGATTGCTAAATGCTATATAAAAATCTTTTTTCTCTCTTATTCTTCCAAATTCCTCATCTTTTTCATGTATGGAGGACCCTCTGCTTTCACTGTGAAATTCTGTTTTAGGCAAAACTCAGTTGCAACTCCTTTTTTTTAACAAAAAAAAAGACCGATCTTTCCCCAGCACTTGGTGAAATCACAGTGAGAGCCCGTGGGTTTCATTTGTCAATACTGATTACTAAGTGGTCTGCAGATAGGAAAACTTTACATTGCTGCTATCGACAATATGTCGCTCTTTCTGAAACGTGCAAGTAACAGCTGGTTGGATAGAAAACAATGAAAGACCAGGATGCTGAATAATAAAGAAAATAATATGTAGCCTCACCGTTTCCATAGTCTAGCTTTGGTGCAAAATAAAAATAAAAATGAGAAGACAGTGTTCTGAAATATCTACCCATCAGTCTGTCCACATCCCAAAAGAAATAATCTCAATTTGCTATATGGCCATTGGTTAGCACAATAAACTTATCGAATAAATCTTGCTGTATTACTCCTTTCATTTATGAAACTTTGCCCTCCCATAAGTGAAATTTTGGGACGCGGGTGGCGCTGTGGGATAAACAACAAAGTCTAGGACTTGCTGATCAGAAGGTCGGCGGTTCGAATCCCCGCGACAGGGTGAGCTCCTGTTGTTCGGTCCCAGCTCCTGCCAACCTAGCAGTTCGAAAGCACATCAAAGTGCAAGTAGATAAATAGATACCGCTCCAGCGGGAAGATAAACGGCGTTTCCGTGTGCTGCTCTGGTTCGCCAGAAGCGGCTTAGTCATTCTGGCCACATGACTTGGAAGCTGTATGCCGACTCCCTCTGCCAATAAAGCGAGATGAGCGCCACAACCCCAGAGTCGGTCACAACTGGACCTAGTGGTCAGGGGTCCCTTTACCTTTTTAAGTGAAATTTTATATTGCTATTACCATCTCCAACCCCTACTGGGGCACTGATTTCATTTTGTGATCAACAAATTTTTAATTCTGTCTGTCTTATCTTCTCCTCCTAAACTGGCTTGCTGGCACAGGCAAGAGAGGTCTAGTTGGAAAATTGAAAGCTGGGATATCTTTAGGGCAGGTAAGGGGGAAGCTTTTTCAGCCCCAGGACTGCATTCCCTTGTATGGGGGGGGGCACATGCCAGGGATAGGTGGAGACATGAGGCAAAAGTGAGTCAAGCAATGAAGCAAATTTACTTTTCACAGTAGGCTAGCTTTCACACATACTGCAAGAGGCATTATCTGTGTTCAAAAACATGTTTCAGTCAGATGAAAGCTCTCCAGTAGAGTGCAAAACAAGGTCAGCTGGCTAGAGAAGAATGGCTGAGGAGGGTCTGCAGCTTGGTCATAGAGAGATGCTTGGCAGGACACATTTCGTTCCCAGGCTTGAGGTTACCAAGCATTCCTTTACATCAGGAACAAGG